CAATATTCAGAAACTCAAAGGCTAATTAACACTTGAGGCAGCAAAAAGTGGAACAAGAAACTCACGGGTCGAACTGTATCCCTTAGCTGCACAAGTTCAACAACACGGTTGGTTGACAGGCGTAGAGGCAACCGGGAGAGAGTTTCGTCTCGAGTTATTTGTACCATTTGTTCTTCCTCTTTCTTGTTTTCCCAAAGGAACAGTGAAACCAGAACAACAATACCTGCACATTGCTGTTCCGAAAGCTTACTTACATAGTAGAGAAAAAAATGGAATTTTAAATTCAAGTGGTGTCTATGACTCACCTCCAATGTTAATTGCAGCATTTCCCGTCGTTTCCAGAAGATCTGGAGCACCATCACCGCCTCTGATTGCCTGAATCAGTCTTGGTACGGTAAAGAATGTTGAGATACCCGCTGCTGCTGCAAATGCGAAATAAAAGAATTTTCTAAAGCCACGAAACGGTGCTCGTACTTCACTGATAAGTTTCAGATCTCTCCGGAAACTATCGCCAATATCTTCCCCGCCTAACCTAGCCTGAAACAATTGGAAGAAGTTTTCACCGATGAGAAAGTTTTTCTTGGGATAAGAAAAAGATATACAAAAGGAGAATACAAGACCTCTTCTTGCAGCTCCTTAAACTCGGGTAATGCGCGAAAGGATGCTAAATCAGGATCGTTAAGAATAGTGGCAAACTTCAGATTATAATCTCTTAACGCAATTCGCAAGCAATCAGCAGCCTTTTTTCCTTCGCCCCTACCTCAAGACGATAAACAATAGGGATGAAATGAAAGACAACATAATCTCATCAGGATCTTTCAAATCAGTAAATTATAAGACAGTTTCATCAGCACATGGTTCAAGGTTCTTACCGGTAAGCATGACAACATGCTTTGTTATAGTAAGCAGCTTGTGACTCAATAGGATTTGGATCCAAACTCAGCGCAGTTTCAAACTGAACAAGAGCATCTTTGACCTGAAAGAACCCAACATGACAAATCAACTAAATCAGTTCAAAGCAAAGACTCTTTTGCTAGCCCCGAGTGTCAACATTTAGAACTAGTACAAGCAATGCAGAGAATTGCTAATTTTGTTTTCCAAGTTTCAAACATAAACTCTCCATTACGATCAAGAAACTAGCAACCATCAGACAAAAAGTATCCCTTTTAAAGTTACAAGCATCAACTAGCGAGTGGCCAAAGTAACTAAATTTCATCGAATTAGGGTTTACCCATTATACAGAATCATACAAACGTCGCAATAGAAGACAGGAACAACCAAAAAGAGCAAGACATAGAAAACCCAAAACACGAATGAATCATATTCACCTACGACCACAAAACCATTCGAATCGAACTCTAGAACTCACCCGTCCTCTCTTAAAGAGATCAAGACCAGTATTGACGCACGACTCTGCCGTGAGATCATCCGTCGGAGAATTTGGAGACGGAGGCAACGACGACGGAGAAGAAGAAGAGGAAGCGAAAAAAAGGAGATGGGAATCCCAATTCCGGCAAGAGTGGAAAAGGGTAGCGTCTCCTGGTGGCAGCCATGGCCGTCGTTGCTTAACTCTCGAGTAAGGGTTCGAGACGCGGCAGAGGAAATGGCGGTTTAGCGACGGAGCTGTAGCCACAGCCATTCAATCTTCTTCTACGTTTCCGAAAAAAAAACCAAACTTTTTATCTTAAAAAAGCTTCCGTTTTCTTTCCTCTGTTTTATTTCGGAAATAATATTTAACTTCCAACTTCTTTGAATATTGTCTAGAAATTTATATTTGGTACAAATTAGACCCCAGAAAAAAAAAACATTGTTGACTTTGTCACACAAGGTTTGGAATCGATTAGGAAAACGAAGACGATTAGTGATTTGATGAGTAGCATAACTAAACTGTAGTTGGTATTGTAATATTTTAATAACTGAATGTGTTTCTGTCTAAATATGAAGTTTGATAGTCTAATTAAATTGCAAATTTAGTCCTTCAACAGTTTAAGAAGCATTAAAAGTCAACAGTCAATTTCTTCCTTACAATTAAAAAATTGAAGTCTCAAGTCAGCTTTCAAGAATTAGAATAATAAGTCAACTTTCAAGAATTAGATCAACACTACTTTAGGATAAACTTTAGGATAACAAATATATTTTTATTATATATCAAGACTCATTATTGAAGATTACATTCAAACCAAATAACTCAGAAGCAAAAAAACAGAGGAAACACACCAAAAAAAAAAACAGAGTTTATGAGAATTTGGCAATTAGGTCATCGCCACTTTTATTGTTTATGAGAATTGGGGCAATGAGGTCATCGCCACTTTATTCAATCTTCTGATTAACAGTTTTTGTTCGCTTAAAGAACCTTCTGAGCAGAAGGCCTAGAAGTAATATCAGCAACCCAAGCACTAACATGTGGACGCTCGTCGAAGAGTTTCTTAGTCGGAGTACCAAGCAAGTACTGAATCACAGGGATAGTGTGAAGATCGACCAAAGTGAAGTGGTCAGAAGCCAAATACTTAGACTCACCAAGCCTGTGTTCGTAAACATCAAGGACTTTGGCTAACTTAGCCTCTTCTTCTTCAACAACGGTTTTGTCTGTAGTCATACCATACAAAGGCTTGAAGACTTGCTCCCAAACAAGCTTTGAACCAACTGGGTCAAACTCATGTGATTCAATTTCAATGCCCATGGCTATGACCGCAATGGCCTTAGAGCCAAGGGAGACAAGTTGGTTTCCTTTGTCTGAGTAAAAATGAGCTATGTATTGAGTAATTGCTCTTGATTCTGTCAACAAAACATAAAAAGTTTAGTGTTTCTGCTTTCTTTAATTGAAATTATCACAAAAAAAAAGAATTTGAGAGATTTAAGTATGATGAGGCCTAAATTTAAGTGTTTTGCTGCTTACCGAAAAGCTTCAAGTCTCCATCTTCAAAGGCTGGAACTTTACCAAAAGGCTGGAAAGCAATATTCAAGATTTTTCAGATCAAGATTCAGAAACTAAATGAAACAATCTTTTGTCTTAACAAATATTATATGTACTCACGTTGCGAAAGGTGAAAGGCTCTTTCTTGTGTTCACCATCCTTGAGCTCGATATGAACGAATTCGAAGTCGAGATTCTTTTCGTGTAGAGCGATGAGAACTCTTCTCGTGGCTGTGGAAGCTGGGTGACCGAAAACTTTGATTCCTGCCATTAGTTAATGCTGTGTTTTTTTTTTCTCTTAAAAGTAATGTGGAGATTTATAAAAGTAGAGAGATCTTTGTGGTTGATGAAAAGAAATACACAAATGGGGAAGTGTATTTATACAACTATAATACAGAGTAACTTAGTGAATAAACAAAAACAAGAAAAAACCTCGGCGCCACCAATCTTGAATACTCTTTGTTATTTCAACGTCAAGCTGAGTAATGTATGATTCGTCGTTTCTATTGGTTCAAGACTTTGATATATCGTTAATAAAATTTATAAAACAATATAATCGGAGAAAATATCAACCATGACGCGATAACGACAACAAGAATAGTCTTTTATCTACTAGTCAAAGTTTGACCGACGTTGTTGAATCGACGTGGATCGTTGAGTCAAGGAGATGAGGCAATGTGAAGCTACAAGCCAAGAAGCTAGACTTTTTGAGTCGTTTTTCGTATATATCTAGAACCTTCTCTAGCTAGTAGCTTCGCCTTGGTTTCATTCACAACCTTATAGTCCGTCTTTAGACCGTACTTAGGCTTGATGGATTGCTCCCCGGTTAGTATTGATGCGAGTGGTTCGAACTCAGAAGTTTCGGTATCCATTCACATTGCTTGTGTTTGTGTCACCATGTTTTGTAGCTAATTTCGTCAATCGTAATTATGAGCCTCTTGATCTATGGACAGTCCCTATGTATTCAGATATAGCTCGAGATTATGAGGAAGACTAAGTACTATATCAAAATTTGCCCGAAATCAAATTCAAAAAGGTTTATTAGATCAATTAGTTGGAAGTGTACGTAAAGATCAAGAGGCTTAAAACGTACGATATAACAAACTTGAGTAACTAATCGTTAGGTAATAATCAACCCTCGTTATAACATGTTTTCTAAGTCAATGATTATGGCTAAATTAATCTATAAAATTGTTAAAATTACGTGAATTTCAGCAAAGAGTTTAGAGATTAGAAGACGGTCGCTTAAGTACAGAAAAGGCCAGTTAAATGGAAACCCTAGTTAAGACCTAAATTTCGTGAAACACAAGTCATCTAACTATAGGTGAAAGGTACATTGAGAGAACGTTAAACGCGGCTCACTCTCGAGGAAATGACGGTTTAGCGACGGAGCTATAGCCACCCACAGCCGTTCAATTTTGTTATACGCTTCCTTAGAAAACCATAACTTTTTATCTTAAAAACGCCTTCCTTTTTCCTCTGTTTTATTTGGGAAACTAATTAACTTCTAACTTCTTTGAATATTTATCTAGGAACTTTTTTTTGGTGACAGTTACGCCCAAAAATGATAAATGACATTGTTGAATTTGAAGCTTGCCATCATTAGAGAAGGTTTGGAATTGATTAGGAAAACGAAGAAGATTAGTGTGATTTATGAGTAGCAGAACTGATTTGGAGTTGGTGTTGTAATATTGTAATAAAAAAATGTGTTTTTGTCTGAATATGAAGCTTAAGATACTAACTAATTTGCTGATTAAGACCTTCAACCAATTAAGACGCATTTACAGTAAACAGCCAATTTATTTCTTACAATGGGAAAAGAAAAGAAAAGTCAACTTTCAAGACTTAGAAGAGTATAAGTCAACTTTCAAGAATGAGATATTGATATTGAGATGAACATTACTTGGCTAAACTTTAAGATAAAATATTTTATTGTATATCAAGACTCATTATAGAAGATTACATTCAAACCAATCACTCAGAAGCAAAAAACAGAGGAAACACACCAAAAAAAAAAACAGAGTTGATGAGAATTGGGCAATTAGGTCATCGCCACTCTTATTGTTTGTGAGAGAATTGAGGCAATTAGGTCATCGCCACTTTTATTCAAATCTTCTGATTCACTTAAAGAACCTTTTGAGCAGAAGGCCTAGAAGTGATGTCAGCAACCCAAGCACTGACATGTGTACGCTCGTCGAAGAGTTTCTTAGTTGGAGTTCCAAGTAAGTACTGAATCACAGGGATAGTGTGAAGATCGACCAAAGTGAAGTGATCAGCAGCCAAATACTTAGACTCACCAAGCCTGTGTTCGTAAACATCAAGGACTTTGGCTAACTTAGCCTCTTCTTCTTCAACAACGGTTTTGTCTGTGGTCATACCATACAAAGGCTTCAAGACTTGCTCCCAAACAAGCTTGGAACCAACTGGATCAAACTCATGCGATTCAATTTCAATGCCCATGGCTATGATCGCCATGTCCTTGCCAGTTGAGAGAAGGTTGTTTCCTTTGTCTGAGAATTCATGAGCTATGTATTGAGTGATTGCTCTTGACTCTGCCAAACAAAAAAAAACATTTGAGTGTTTCTGCTTTCTTTTATTGCAATTATCAAAAATCCAAATTTTGTAACTTGACATGTTACTATATATATATATATATGTATTTACCGAAAATCTTGAAGTCTCCATCTTCAAAGGCTGGAACTTTACCAAAGGGCTGCAAAACAATATTCAGGATTATTTAGACCAAGATTCAGTAACTAGATGAAAAAACAATCTTTTGTCTTGACCAATTTTAAATATGTACTCACGTTGCGGAGGATGTAAGGCTCTTTCTTGTGTTCACCATCTTTGAGCTCGACATGAACGAATTCAAAGTCGACATTTTTCTCGTATAGAGCGATGAGAACTCTTCTCGTGGCTGTGGAAGCTGGGTGACCGAAAACTTTGATTCCTCCCATTAGTTAACGCTGTTTTTTTTTTGTTCTTGAAGTAATGTGGTGATTTGTTGAAGTAGAGAGATCTTTGTTGTTGATGAAAAGAAATACACAAATGGGGAAGTGTATTTATACAACTAAAACAGAGTAACTTAGTGAATAAACAAAAAACAAACGGAGCCACCAATCTTGAATACTCTTTTTTTATTTTTATTTTTTGGATAAAATCTTGAATACTCTTTGGTTAGAAGATTTTTTTTTGATAAAGTGTTAGAAGATTATTTCAAAGTCAAGCTGAGTAATGTATGATTCGTCGTTTCTATTGGTTCAAGACTTAAATATAACGTCATATAAATTATAAAAACATTATAATCAGAGAAATATCAACCACCGCGTGATAACGACCACAAGAATAGTCTTTTATCTACTAGTCAAAGTCTGACCGACGTTGTTGGGTTCACTTGGATCGTTAGATGCTCAAGTTAGATCGTTGGATGCTGAAGAAATATTTCATTCGATACAACGAGAGATAATAAGAAACAAAATAATATCAAAAATAAAATAAAAATCGGTTTCACATTTTGAACAATATGGTACAATTACAAAGTTGGGGTCGATAAAGATCACATGTTGAAGCAACGATCCATGAATTACATACTAACCATAATTATGAAGGAATACATTACTAATTCATATAATATAATTTCTTATAGATTCCACAAAATAAAAAAATTCTTATAGAAACATACGAAGGGGTAAAAGATTTTTTTACGTTTACGACAAAAAAAAAGATTTTTTTACGTTTTTCACATTCACAAAAGTGCTCATTAATTACAAACCACTTTGACTTTACAGAGCATTTATGCTTGTGAAACGTACGGAAAATCATATGTTGAAGTAAGTATAAATTAGACTTCGGAATTTGCAATCATTATGACATAAAAGAGTGATACCAGTACGATCGATTTCAATTATGGACCAAAAGGGAGATGACTAATTCACTGAAATTTGCAAAAGTTTTGCCTTTTTATTCATAACATCAAACTCAAGAAAACAAATTATTTGCTCTCATTAATTCTTCTTCGTATGGTACCAAGCCTTCACATCACATGCCCTCTTCCAAGCGGGTCTAGCTATGATCTCAGCCACCCACCGGCGCACGCTTGGCCGGTTTTCAAACAATCTCTTTGTATGTGTGTCCATAAGGTATTGTATATTAGGAAGGTGATAAAGATCAGCCATTGTGAAGCTGTTACTAGCCAAGAAGCTAGACTTTTTGAGTCGTTCTTCGTATATATCTAGAACTTTCTCTAACTTCGCCTCCGTTTCATTCACAACCTTGTAGTCCGTCTTTAGCCCGTACATAGGCTTGATGGATTGCTCCCAGGTCAATATGGATGTGAGTGGATCAAACTCAAAAGATTCGATAGCCATCCACATTCTTTGTGTTCCCATTTTTTTGTAGCTTTTGTAATTCAGAAGTTGTGTGCCTCTTGATTTATGGACAGTCGCGATGTATTCAGATATAGCTCGAGATTCTGAAGAAAACAAATTATATCAAAATTCATTAGATCAATTAGTTTAAATGTAGGTTTAAACTCACCAGTCAACTTAAGATGCCCATCTAGGAACACTGGAACTTGACCAAATGGCTGCATCAATAATACAATAAACACATTGTTAAACTAAAACTAAGATGTAACTAAACATTTCATGAAGCAGATCTAACTAGCTAGAGGTGGAAATTAAAGTACATTGATAGAGAGAAAACGTGGCTTCTTCTGGTCACCGGCTTTCAAGTCGACGGTGATGGGATCGTAAGAGAGACCTTTCTCATGGAGAACGGCGAGGACACGCCTTGTGTTGGTGGAATAAGGGTACCCATAAATCTTGTAATCTGCACTTTTACATGTATTACGATGAAGTAGGAGATGAAAGAAACTCACTGTTCATTCTGGTAGAAATCAGCATTAGTATGATTACCATCTTTGTGAGCTAATTCTTGACTCTCGAACGTCTGGTTACAATGGTAGCAAGTTGTCGGTACATCGCTCGCGTTTACTCCCATCCCTACGACTCAATTATGAATATTCGAAACCATAATTCATAGTACAAGTAAGGAAAAGAAAAAAATCAAAATAATTACATTGGAGTGGTTCATAAGAAATCGCCATCATAACCACGAGAGCAAACGAAACCAATAATATGGAGGAACCCATTTTTTCGACTCTCTCTATACACTCAACACTCAGTTGTTTTTATATTTGGTGTTATATTGATTGCTTAATCATAGAGCATCAAAAAGATGTATTTATAATTAATAGGGTCAATCATAACCATAATAATTTACTTTATTTCCTTTTCAAATTTGTTTATTAATTAGTTGGATTTTTTGACATGACATTGTAGATTTCTTTCCTTTACAGTTTTTTTTTAGCTTATACAATTTAATAGCGAGAACAGTGTACTTATCTGACTTTTAGGTGCTATTCTCTTTAATTAGTTTAAATAATGATTATTTATTTATTTATTTACATCAAACACAAAGCATCTTATAAGATTCACCACGCAACAAACAACACACAAGCTTACGAACAAAGACCCAAACTCAACACACAAACACATTCTTCACACATAAAGTTTACTTCTGCTTTCATTTAGTTCCTTGGCTTATTAAACCAAGATTTCTCTTGATCACAGGCCATCTTCCAAGCCTCTCTACTCGTAATCTCCTCCACCCACTTACGCACTTTGGTTCGTTTTTCGAACAATATCTTTGTTGGAGTTCCCAAAAGGTATTGTATGTTTGGTAGGTGATGAAGATCAACCAAAGTAAAGCTATTACAAGCCAAGAATCTAGATTCTTCGAGTCGTTTCTCGTAGACGTTTAGAACTTTCTCTAGAATAGCCTCGTTCTCTTTGACGATTGTTTGGTCAGTCTCTAGACCGTAGATAGGCTTAATGACTTGTTCCCAAGTGAGTTTCGATGCGGGTGGATCAAACTGATGAGCTTCGATTTCCATCCACATTGTTAGAGTTGCCATTGTCTCGTGACTTCTAAGATTCAGAAGCTGTGTGCCTCTTGAGCTATGAACATATGCAATGTATTGCGTGATGGCTCGGGATTCTAGAAGGAAAAAAAATGATTAGATATAAGTATAACAATTGTTTATCAGGTTGTTGTTATTAGTGTGTAAGATTAAACTCACCATACAACTTAACATTTCCATCTTCAAAAACAGGGACTTGACCAAATGGCTACATCAATAACACACTGTTAAAACTCTAAATCCTTGGGTTACAAGTAACCAATCCCTAGATGAGTATCAAAACCTAACCATATATAACAAATGTATGTATATGTAGATGATTCGGCACAAAGTCAATCTATAATCTACAGGTGTGTAATCTCATCCTGAAATTACTAATCATTCGATTTTGCGATATCGTTACTTACGTTGAGAGAGAGGAAAGGTTCCCTTTTGTGTTCACCGGTTTGCAATTTGACGGTAATGGGCTCGTAAGAGAGTCCTTTCTCATGGAGAACAGCGAGGACACGCCTTGTGTTGGTGGAGAAAGGATCGCCATGAACCTTGTAACCTGCAACGAATTCACTGAAATCAAAATCTATCTTAATTCTTTTTGTTATAAACCTATATATATTAATTAATCGTACCGAGCTTTTTGACTTCTGCCGCACGTTTCCAGTTTGGCAATAACTTGAACACCATCTGTAAGCAGTCCATATATCCTATATAGATAGAATTGTTTAGTTTCTGCATGTATATATATATATAGCTCCTCCATAAACCTGATTATATATACTAAGTTATATGCTTTCTCTTTTGCAATACAAAAGCTGAGGAACATTTTGTTTTTTTCTTCACATCCACGTAAAGTGTCCACCTTTCTTGTGTATTGAGAGATGAATTGTTCCAATGATACAATATAAACTAAGGATCTACCGTTTTATTTCATTATTTATCCTTTTTGTTTCATTATTAAAGTGCTAATTAAGAAAAAAGACAAATACTAAACTTTTTTTAGCTTCGTGAGGTAATTATTATACTGTACTATGATTATGCTTTTATTTTGAGGTTTACCTAAGCACAAGACAGGAATCAAACCAATAAAGAGTTCATGTATACCGTACTAAAACGACTAGAACAATTGGTAAAGAACTGATTTACGCCTTTAATCAGTAGTAGTGATTAGTGAACCCAAAGAAGAAAACACGACAAATCCAAAAACATTTAAACTCTGATTACAAAATCTCACAACAGTTTCTGGTATTCTGCAGTTTCTTACAAATCACACAATTTTGGAAAATCATTATTTCTGTTCTACTATTTTGATCATAAAACAATGTTATCAATCATAGAGCTTTAATTATCGTTTATGTAAGCAGAGATAAAATCAGTTGCAAGTTTTTTTCTTTCACATATTGACATTTGTGTGAGTTACATTACAGACTTGAGAAATATGAAGACAAAATAATCACATCATTGGTTTTCTTCACTTCCAACTCCTTCCTGTTGAAAATTAAAAAGCTAATATCACAAAAGAGTTCAGTGACACATTGACATGGGATAAGAGTCTAAAGGGTGGAATCAAAACTGACCATGGTGCATATACTCGGATAAAGTTCCTTATTTCGATATCAACATCCGCACAAACTTTAGGACTAAAAATAATTGTTGTTTCTGTTTCTTTGGCCGCAAGAGCTTGTGTGTTCTTGAGTAATAGGGAGTCCTACAAAATCAAATGTGAATGACTAAATCAATGAGCTTATAATCTATTTGATAGATGATAGATCTTCAAAGGGTATAACTAAAGGAGCAGTTTTATTAGATGCGTCAGAGAGATGGAGAGAGAACCCCAGAAAGGTCAATGATGGAGCATTTGCAGACAACCAGCTTTCCCTCCAAGTGCCTTGATATGATTTCTACGTCAACATAGCTCGATGTATCTGAGTTGGGAAACGGGAAATGAGTAAACAGAGGTATGAACTAGATTTTGTTTATATGGGAGTTACAAAGCAGGGTTACCTGCTTGTTCGATTCCGCCTTGCAATTTCCTTGTGATTTCCATTTCTGTCTCTTTTTCTTGTTTCATGATCTGTTGTAGCTTGCCATACAGGCTAGAGCCACTGCAAATTGATGCAACAAAAAACAGGTTTTCATGTTAACTGATATGTGTGGTTTTAAGAGTGTGGTGCCTAAAATGTGTTGAAAGTTTGATTACCCAGATAATTTAGGTGAACCGAACAAGAGACCTTCCTTGCTCAAAGAGGAAGCTTTTATCGCTTCATCAAACCGGTCTCCAACAAATTGTTTCTTCTGGTTAGAAATGTTTGGCACTGAGCTTCGATAACTAGGCTATGTCACAGAACAATATCATTTGGATTTGATCGTAGACTGAGGAGAAGGAGATTTACCAAAATCACAAGAAAGGAAGAGAATCAAACCTCATCATCGCTTGATGATCCACTATCCATAGGTCCAGGAAGTTCATCATCAGTATCACTATCTTGGAAGTTAGATGAATTTCCCTTATGAGCAAATTTTCGACTTTTTGCTTCATGTCTGCGGTACTGGAGCAGAAAGGAGGCCAAACGAATGAAACAGAGATCTGAGAGCAAAGTACCAAATCAATTGCTAATCATTAATACCAGTTTAGAGCTTCTTTTTATCAGTCTAATCTTATCTCGAGGAATTTCTAGAAGCTTGTGTATCGCATCTTCAGTGCACCCATGCAGAACCTCTCTCGACTCAGCAACAGAAACACCCGGCCTGTTTTCTGATCTTTCATCTAAACTGTTGAGGCATTCAACAATTGGATCCTCTTCTATGGCCTGATCCTCCGCATCAGGCTCAAAGATTTCAGCCATGTCACTTATCTTGGATGACGCTTCTCCATGAGTATGTGAGTTAAATGAAAATTTTGGCCTCACATGATCTTTGACAACTGCATATACAATAAAAACCCAACTCAGAGATTTCAGAAGTTCATGCACACATGATCTGTTTCTTTGAGTTTTCATATGTGGTGCTCGTTCTTTAACTTCTACGGTAAAAAATACCAAGGAGAGTTTTGGATGAAACAGTACCTTTACTACCTCTCTTGGCTCTGAAGCCAGATAGATGGGATGATGCGACTGAAGCAATACCATTAAAATGGATTAGTGACTTGGTTTCTTTACTTATAGCAGACCAAGTTGCCACTTGTTCATCATGTTGAATCTGAAGGCAACAATAATCATCATTAAAAACGTAAGTACAGTGACTCAATGGGAGAATACTGTGACCAATTCGACAAAATAATATACAGCACTTATCAAGCTGCATGGGTGAAATGGACTTGAAGATTAGAAGGTAACCTCATCATCTGACCCGCTTTCCTGAGCAGATATGCATGCTAATCCTGTTCTTCTTGAAGAAGTAAAACAAGTCTCCTCAGGGGAATCAGGAACTTGGACGACATCCGATGATATCTTCCGTAGCTAAAAAGGAAATTCTCTCATCACCATGTGATTCCAATATTCCTCAGAACAAAAGAATTTTAAAACGAAAAAGACTCACAGTTGCTTCCAGAGTTACATCACCGGGATCCCTAGCATAATTTAGTTCACCACAACCTGAAAACAACACAGAAGCTCTTTGTGAAACCACTTTCCTTAAGATAGTCATAGAAAAGGCTTGACCACAAACTGGATATATATATACCTATGAGTTTTTCGAGCTTTGTTTGAAGTAGTAATCCTCCCTAAAATATTGAAGCCAACTATGGTCAAACCACAATAAATTTCCCTATAGCTCCTCAAAACTAATCAATTGGGCAAAATTAAAAGTTGCCATGTTCTTTCTCAAATCATATCAGAACAGTGTGCTTCATATATCGAATCGAAAGTTAGAGATTAAACATTACCTCTTCTTCCTTTGCATTCTCGCTTGGCCACAGATCATTTTGCTCCTCCTCCTCTTCCTCTACAAGACCAAACAACAGCTTGAGAGTCACTCGTTTGAAAATTTGAAAGACATTATAATACAAAAGTGAAATTTCAGATCACCAGATATGCTCTGATCGGAATCTGGATTCACCTGAAAATCCAACAAGAAAAAGGCAAATAAAAGTCCGTCCTGGAAGAAGAAATCGCAATAGCAAATAATTCTCAGGGATGTAGGACAGTCACCGGTAAGTTACTTCGCCGCCACATTAGCCGTCACCGTTCAAATCGATCTCGCCGGTGTTCGCCTTTGTACCGTCGTTGCCCCGTTAGTATGCTTTGGATATGAGCTCACTTTGTTTATTGGATTGGTAATTGGGCTTTTATAGGCCCAATTCAATCCCAATAATTTATCCCATATTTTAGAATTAATTTTATAAAATATATAATACAAAAGTAATCAATAAATGTATAACATTTATTATTTTCTTAATCTTAGTGAAAAACCTCAAAAAAACAATCTTTTTGATACAGAGGGAGTATGTATTTTATGTACAAACAAAAATTATATTATAAAATAAATAATAATCTAACTTTAAACAAAAATTTAAAATTTAAATTATATTTGTGTCCTTCAACTATAAAATTAATACTATGAATTTGAAAGTTTTGTTAGTTAATGTATGGATTTGCACAACAGTTACTTTGCTTTCAGTTCCTGGAGGAATTCTCACATGAGGAGGATTGGTGATGGAAAAGAAGTTGGAGAAGGTATTGTTGCTATGCTCAGCGGTGATGGAGGTTTTTATGAGGTTCTTTTAGATATGATAGACAAAGGATTCAAAGTTGTTATTTAAGCCAATTTTCGCCATTGGAGTTTTTGGTTCACCATGTTGCTGCAAATAGAAGTAGATAAGGATATATACCACTGTACTAAAGTCCCACGTGTCAAGACTCTCATATCATCATCATCAACGATATTTTTTCATTGTGTGACAAGACTCTCACCCTATACAAACCAGGGAGTCTAGAGCTTGGTGGATATGAAACTCCAGACACCATCAATAGCACTGGTTTGCATAAAGCAATACTTGTACGCACAAAATTTTCATCGGGGAATTTGATAACCGTTTTGATAGAGAGCCTTGTCAAATCACAAGTTGTCTAGTATATTCTTTGGAAGCTGAATTTTTTAATTAATATAAGTAATCAAACATCTATGAAGCTAAAATATTGAACTTACCTTTGCATTGCCACTGCAAGAGAACATTTGGATATAATGCATATGTCGGTGACTTTGGTCTGACTCCGCTTTCAATACGCACAAACATAATTCATTTACTGTGACATATATCAAGAAGATACATAACTAGATTTCAAAGATAAATTAGTTTACGACAAAGCACCTAATACTTTCTTTTTACATATTTTTTTTAAAAAAAGATTAATTAATTACATTAGCTTCTTATGCAAAAACAAACTGTCATAAGATCAATATTGAGACCTAAACACTCATACGTTAATTAGTAGTACACACCACAAAAAAAACTTGTCATAAAATCATATATATGAAAGGAGGCTATCTCTCTCCATATGGTCGCCACGTCAGCATTTTAGGCTCTTCTGGAGATGCCACATCAGCTTTCTTTCTATCCAATCAAAACATTTCATTAATATGAGTCAGCTTTTATTTTTTACACATCAGCTTCTAATTATAAATGTCAAATGGAGAAAACACAATAGCCCATGAGGGATGGCCCATATGAATTTGAAAATTTATTTCACAAGTTAATAATATATTTATTATTTAATTATATATATTATTTAATTTTACATATTGATTTTTACTAATACTAACTTATTTTGTTATTTTATGTTTTTTTCCATGAAATTATTTTATTGGTTTTATATACTCCAAAGTTTTTTTCGCTAATTTTTGTAATCTTAACTCAAAATATGAGTGGATAATAGTATAGTGGATTAGCTAATGGTTTGAGTAAGTTTTTCTCTTATTTTTTTGATCTATATATGACACTGAGGATGAAGAGTACGTAAGGTCATCAAATTTTGGAGGTTCTATAATCCCAACATTACCATCTATAAAATTGGTTTAGGAAAGATTGTTTACGGATTGTGTGAGTGATGCATTGTTGAGTATGTTGGTTGAAAATGTATTTTAATACTAAGAGTAGTTGTTCATTGTATGAGTAAATGATTAGATAATTAAAAATTACATTTATCAAAATATAACATCAAATAAATCAAAATAAAAAAAAACTGGAAAAAACCGCGGCGTAAAGCGGGTGATTAACTAGCAACAAGAACAATCAAAGTAATTTGTTATTAACAATTTTTAAAACAAACCGTGGGTATTCATCTAGTCAATATTGATACCCAAAAGAAAACAGCTATAAAGAAGTGGGAATTGAAACAGCAAATGGCGGTGCGATTCTGTCGAATATAGCTCACGGGCCCATTAGTTGTAATGGTAATACTTATATTTTTAACGGGCCCAATATGTTCCCAGCCTAGCATGTAAACTACTGATCTACGAGCCCACCAGCTCAGGGCGTAGTTCTAAAAATATGTTTTATTAAAGACCACCGAAGCTTACATGACACGCTCCACAGAAGATCCGCTGCACCTCTACTTTATCTGTAACAAAATATTACTAACCTGAAGATCGAACGGTCCATAATTGATAATATGGAAGTGCACCGTAGTCATTCACGCAGATGACTACTCCCAAATTTTAGCTCCAAAAGCTACGAGACTAGAGCGCGCAAATTTTAAATTTATTCATTTATTTCAATTATTTTCTTTACATCTTCTATCAAATAATATTCATCGTCATGTTCGAGAAGAAAGGAAGAACACTGTTGGCGAAGAGGAAAACCCTAGGAACGATCAAAACCAGAAGAACGAAGAAGATTCGGAAGATGGAAGGAACATTGGAGCGACACTCTCTGCTTCAATTCGGTCAATTGTCGAAGCTTTCTTTTGATAATCGTCCGTCGTCGAATGTTGCTTCATCGGCGTTTCAGGGTCTTCTGGATTCGGACTCGTCGGAGCTCCGGAATCAGTTGGGTTCCGTTGATTCAGATACCAATTGCGGAGAGAAGGACTTTATTCTTAGCCAAGACTTCTTCTGGTAAATCTTCGTTAACTTGGCATTTCTTAGCTGTGTATATCTAATTCGAGATCTATCGTTATCTTCTAGGTAATAGTATAATTTTGGGCTTGGTTAGTATTGCGATTTAAAGATCGGACTTTAGATTTGTGAAGGTTTCCCTTATATTCACTTTTTAAAAATCTAGCCTTTTGAAATCTCTGAGAAAGCTTAATTTATAGAGATTTATGTAATTATGTTTAGCTAAAAGATGCTTGTGAGATATTGATGAATGGCCTGTGATTCGTGAAATCTCAGCTATTAACTTCTGATTTATTTTCCAGCACACCTGACTATATAACCCCGGACAATCAGAACTTGATGAACGGCTTAGATATCAGCAAGGTAAATTGTTAATTTTTTTTATGTCAGATCTTTGTTTCACCAATGTCTCAAATTTAAAGTTCTTCTCTTTTTTTTTTTTTTTTTGTAGGATCATTCTCCTTGTCCTAGGTCTCCTGTTAAACTAAACACAGTTAAAAGCAAAAGATGTCGTCAGGGTAAGCTTTCTTTGTCTAGCATGAGTAGTCATTATCTTTTCACAGAGTTTGAAGTTAACCTTTTCTTGTCATTGACATATTGCCTGGACTGGACAGTGTGTTCTTTGCCTAAGTTTTTGATTACTCAGATAAAATTGTGTGTTTAATGCAGAGAGTTTCACATTAAATCATTCAAATTCTACCTGGTCTTCAAAACATAGAGTAGATGAACAAGAGAATGATGATATTGACACTGATGAGGTCATGGGGGATAAACTCCAAGCTAATCAAACAGAGAGGACTGGATATGTTTCACAGGCTGCAGTTGCTCTGCGGTGTCGGGCTATGCCACCCCCTTGCCTCAAGAATCCGTATGTGATGAATCAGTCTGAGACTGCTACTGACCCTTTCGGACATCAGAGATCAAAATGTGCAAGTAAGTTTGTTTTCCCTATAATTCTTACTCAAGAATTTCCTGAAAGGCTTTAGAAATCAATAAGGCTTGGCTTCTTCAGTAAAAATGTACTAAATATACTGTTATGCAGGTTTTCTCCCTGCAAGTACAAGTGGGGATGGCTTGTCAAGATATCTCACGGACTTTCATGAAATTCAGGTAAGCGAAAGTGGTCTTTTAGCTTGGAATTGTGATCATGACGGAATTATGTTGCTTCTTCTTACGTAATTTGGTTTTGGTTTCTCCAGCAAATTGGTGCTGGACATTTCAGTCGTGTATTTAAGGTGTTGAAGAGAATTGATGGTTGCCTATATGCTGTGAAACACAGCACAAGGAAGTTGTATCTAGATTCAGAGAGGTATAATTTTCTCTAGTTTCTTAGTAAGCGAAAGACACATATCTGCTGAAAAAATAGTTCATCTTGTTTGGATCGTTTTTGTTCAAGTAATCACAGCTGAGTTTTTGCAGACGTAAAGCTATGATGGAAGTGCAAGCTCTTGCTGCTCTTGGTCAGTACAGTCCCTTGTTTTGCCTTCTTGTCCTGAATCTACTCTGTTATAACCTGCTTGCAAGCTAAGCTCAGTGTAGCCTTAAACCGTTTTTATCTTATTTTGTTCGTAGGGTTTCATGAAAATGTAGTAGGATACTACTCCTCGTGGTTTGAAAATGAGCAATTATACATTCAACTGGAACTCTGCGATCACAGCTTGTCAGCTTTGCCCAAGAAATCTTCTCTTAAGGTCTCAGAAAGAGAGATCTTGGTGATTATGCATCAGGTAAACACTTAACTTTCATATAAAATCAAGTATAGAGAGTTTCTTGATTCTTTGAATTCTTATATACATATCATTGGACTGTGTGTGTGTCTCTTACAGATAGCTAAGGCGTTGCAGTTTGTGCATGAGAAAGGAATAGCTCATTTAGATGTAAAACCCGACAATATTTACATCAAGAACGGTGTTTGCAAGCTCGGTGACTTTGGTTGTGCCACACGATTGGACAGAAGTTTACCAGTAGAAGAAGGAGATGCACGTTACATGCCTCAAGAAATTCTCAATGAAGACTACGACCACCTTGATAAAGTCGATATCTTCTCTTTAGGTGTCACGGTTTACGAGTTGATTAAGGGATCTCCTCTTACAGAATCAAGAAACCAGTCTCTCAATATCAAAGAAGGCAAACTTCCTCTCCTTCCTGGCCATTCGTTACAGTTACAGCAACTGCTTAAGGTACGTTATTTGCATTCTTACCTGTGTGTTTTCATGGTGGTCCGAGCATCGGAACATAGCATTTAAGACAGAAATGCTAACATGTTTCTTGGAACAGACAATGATGGATCGTGATCCTATGCGTCGGCCTTCTGCTATAGAATTACTGGACCATCCCATGTTTGATAGGATTCGAGGTTGATTCATAGAAGAGTCTCTCAGATGTCGAGAACTAAATTTTGTAAATTATGGTACCAATGATGAGAGGGTATTGGTCCATGGCCATGCACTAGTTTTTTTGTGGAAAACTATTGGCATGAAAAGGTACCATGATCTTGGTTTCGGTACAAAAGGTCCGGTTAACCAACCAAAACTGAATTGAAAAGGTTGTTGGTTCTGTTGTAATTTTATGGCTTTTGTATATTTGTGGAACTGAGATTGGGAATTGTAATTTTCATGTTTCACTATATATCTCAAATGCCATATGATTTTTATCTGAGTTGAATTTGTTTGTAGAGTCTAATGGAGTAATAGGTCACATAATGGTAGAAAGAATGATTAAAAGCAAAATAAAATGGTGAAATCATCACGGTAGTCTTAAAACTTGTATAGTTGATGATGTTCAGAAGTCTAATGATTTTTACAATAGCTCTAAAGATTTGTTTTTCGTCAATTACGGTTCAATTTCTTGAAAAGGCAGTGTACATTAAGGAGCTGTTTAGTTCATTGCTTCATCACATTTAGTAAAAAAATAAAAAAAAGAAGTTTCCAGATGCTTTTGTTATTATAATTTAAAGTATTATTTTATTCAAAAAATTAAAGTATTAATCTTCCTAATTCCCAAAATAGTGAAATATAATTTATTATGATATACTTTTCCTTAAATTTCATAATTTCATAATGTTATATTAATAATTATAAAAAATCTATAAAACCTTTTTATCATTATCACAAGAGAAAAAAACTCAACACATATATAATTCCAAATCAATACACCACAGAAATAGAAGAAACACATTTGTAAAGGTACATAATATTAAATTTTCTGTCTAATAATAATAATTATAGTTTCCAGATTTCCTTAAAAATGTTACTAATTGGTAAGTGTTTCTTTTACTTTGACCAAAAAAAAAGGAAAAAAAAACAAGTGTATATACCTTCTATATATTTTTTTAAAAGAAAAAATAAATAGTTAAACTTCACCGCCTTCCCAACTCTATATATACCTTCCGTTTCTCGTTAGGCTTTAGTCGCGAACTTCTAGATTCTGAGAGCTCTCCCAAATCCCTGTGAAATCGGATTCGATACTCTTCGGAATCTTCTGGTACGTGACGAAATTAGGGTTTAAGATCGTACAATTTCTCTTCACATGTCTCGATTTCGTACTCTTCTTTAGTCTTTCGCTTGATTTCTTCTGTTTCTGTCACTGTTCCGCGTTTATCTACTCGATTTTGAACGAGTTAGGGCTACGTCGCGTTTCTATACTCGATTTTGAACGAGTTAGGGTTACGTCGGCTTCTCTTTGCTTTGTTGATTCTGCGAATTCTTGATTTGCTTTCATAGATTGTTGTGTTGCGCTCGAATCGTTTATTCAAATTCGTTGTGTTCTTTCTCTCTTTGTGATTCATCGCCGTGGATGCGAAAGTATCGATAACCTCTTAAGAACTGAATTCTGTTGTAGTTATCTTGATTTCTCATGTAATATTATTTTATTGCAGAATCTTGTTCAAGGTCGCTTGAAAAGAGTCATCTCATAATGTCGAAGCCTTTAATTGTGTTGGAGGAAGGATGGCCCTTCATGGAGGCTGGTGTTACAAAGCTACAAAGGATTCTGGAAGAATTGCCTGAGCCAGCATTTGAGTCGGTTCAATATATGAATCTGTACACGTATGTCTTCTTATAATGATGTTTCTTGTTTTTACTACAGTTCCATATGGATGCTAACCACAGTGGATTCTTATGTGATTCACAGGACTATCTACAATATGTGTGTCCAGAAACCTCCTGATGATTACTCACATCAGCTTTATGATAAGTATCGTGGAGTAATTGATGATTACAATAAACAAACAGTGAGTACCATGTTTTCGTTTGGGCTTGATTCTTGAACATTGTGCTGTATATTCTTGAGCAAACAGTCAAATGTTTTTATATGTGATTAGGTGTTGCCGGCTATAAGGAAGAAGCATGGTGAATATATGCTGAGAGAGCTTGTTAAGAGATGGGCTAACCATAAAGTTCTTGTTAGATGGTTATCCCGCTTCTTCGACTATCTTGGCCGTTACTTTATTCCTCGGAATAATCATCCAACACTGAATAATGCTGGCTTGATATCCTTCCGCGACCTGGTTTGTCATGCGTTCCTGTAACTCTTGATTTTTTACTGCCGCAAAGTATTTTCTAACTGTCCATGCAATTATTTACTTCAGGTTTATCAAGAGATACAGTCCCATGCCAAAGACGCTGTACTAGCACTTGTAAGTATCTGTGATTAAACGAATTGAGTAGCTCTGGTTTGGTTATTCTGGTTTCTATCTAACACAATTTGTATTGCCAGATTCATAAAGAACGTGAGGGTGAACAGATTGATAGATCACTATTGAAAAACGTAATAGATGTCTATTGTGGGAATGGAATGGGAGAGATGGTAAGATACGAAGAGGATTTTGAAAGCTTCTTGCTTCAAGATTCTGCATCTTACTATTCTCGCAAGGCCTCAAGTTGGAGCCAGGAGGATTCTTGTCCTGATTACATGCGAAAGGCTGAGGAGTGCCTAAAACTGGAGAAGGAGAGAGTCACTAACTACCTTCATTCAACCACTGAGCCGAAATTACTTGAGGTTAGCTATGATATAATTTGTACGCTGCTAGCGGAAATATATAATTGTTTGGAATAATCATATTTTGACCGAGGGAATGTTTTAGCGTTTAATCTTAAGAGTTGTGCTTATTTCTGACAGCATTTTGAGCTGGTTACAACCATATGTAAACACTCATTGTTTGTTTGTTTTTGGATGCAGAAAGTACAAAATGAATTGTTGGTAGTGGTTGCAAAACAGCTTATAGAAAATGAGCACTCAGGGTGCCGTGCATTGTTAAGAGATGACAAGGTAGGCGACTTTTGTTGGTTTATTTAATTCTTAAACAAATTTCATCTAAAATTCACTCTTTGAACTGAGCATTGGGATATACTTTCAGATGGATGATCTCTCCAGGATGTACAGGCTTTATCATCCAATCAGTCAAGGGTTGGATCCTGTTGCAGACTTATTCAAGCAGGTTTTTATTTTGTTCCCTTCATTTTGCATTACAAATAACGGATACTGGTACCTCACTTTTCTGTTTGTATCCAAATCATTTTTCTAATTGCTAAATGACATTGTGTATACAGCATGTTACTGCAGAGGGAAATGCCCTTATCAAACAAGCCGCCGACGCAGCTACTAATCAGGTTTATATTCTAGCCTGAGAACTCTGTGGAGTCAAAAATTAGATGTGAGTCTACTCCCTTTGTGATTGCTGAGAATTTTTTGTTCCCCAGGATGCAAGTGCTGGTGGCGTACAGGACCAGGTGCTTGTCAGAAAAGAGATTGAGCTACACGATAAATACATGGTCTATGTCGATGAGTGTTTTCAGAAACACAGCCTCTTCCATAAGGTCTGAGTGTGTTCACATTTCTATCTTCTTGCACAATATTTTATTTAATGACCATAGTTTCTTTGAATGTAATGCAGGCATTAAAAGAGGCATTTGAAGTCTTCTGTAACAAAACAGTGGCTGGAGCGTCGAGTGCAGAAATACTTGCAACCTATTGTGATAATATCCTCAAGACAAGAGGTGGAAGTGAGAAGCTTAGTGAGGAAGCTACTGAAATTACGCTTGAGAAAGTAGTTTTCTCTTTTCTTCATACTGCTAATGCGTTCAATGTCACTTATCCTTTTGATGCTGATTTTAATTTTATTATTACAGGTGGTTAAGTTGCTTGTTTATATAAGCGACAAGGATCTTTTCGCCGAGTTTTACAGGTACATATCTCTTCCTCAAATATTTGTTTTTTTCTGAACTTTGTTCCTTACACCAATGCTTTGTTAACAAGCTCTATTCTTTTCTAAATATGGTTGTTTTCAGGAAGAAACAAGCCCGTCGGCTCTTATTTGATCGCAGCGGTAATGACGAGCACGAAAGAAGTATACTTACAAAGTTAAAAGAACTACTCGGTGGGCAGTTTACTTCTAAGATGGAGGGCATGGTTAGTCACATGAGTTTAAATTTCTTAAAAAAAAGGCTTGTTTAGTAGTAACTAAGGTTACTGATGCTTTCTTTTGTACATATAATTTGTTTCATATAGGTGACGGATATAACATTGGCAAAAGAACAGCAAACCAACTTCGCTGATTATCTATCAGCTAGCATGACCACAAAGCTGGGGATTGATTTGACTGTCACTGTTCTTACTACTGGTTTCTGGCCAAGTTACAAAACATCTGACCTCAATCTACCCACTGAAATGGTAACTCTTTAATTATAGGTCTTGAAACAGAAAAGAAGAAGATTTTCTCAGCTCCAATTTTCTTTTTGTTTCAGGTCAACTGTGTTGAAGCTTTTAAAACCTTTTATGGAACAATAACCAAACACAGGAGACTTTCATGGATTTATTCTCTGGGAACTTGTCACATTTCTGGAAAATTCGATAAAAAAACAATGGAGTTAGTCGTTTCCACCTACCAGGTATCTATTTGTTTCTGGTTTGTTTTCACTTAGTGATATATGATTTTTTATATGTACATGGATTACTTGAATACATATACTTTTTCTGTCAGGCTGCCGTGCTTTTGCTCTTCAACAATGCAGAGAGATTGAGCTACACTGAGATGTTGGAGCAGCTAAACCTCAGCCATGAAGATCTTGTCAGGCTGCTTCATTCACTGTCATGCGGGAAGTACAAGATTCTTATAAAGGAACCAATGTCGAGAAGCATCTCTAAAACGGATACGTTTGAATTCAACTCCAAGTTCACCGATAAGATGAGGAGAATTAGGGTAATTTTATATGATGAGGAGAGCATTGTGTTAGTTTCATGTAGCCCGGATCAAAAAGACTAATGATGTTTTTTTCTTAAACAGGTGCCTCTGCCTCCAATGGATGAGAGGAAGAAAGTTGTTGAAGATGTTGATAAAGATAGACGCTATGCAATAGATGCAGCTCTTGTTCGGATCATGAAGAGCAGAAAAGTGTTGGGGCATCAACAGTTAGTCTCTGAATGTGTTGAGCATCTTAGCAAAATGTTCAAGGTAAGGGAATATACAAAAAAAAAAAAAACTCATATTAGACACAGAATTAAGGAAATATTTACATAATGGCTTTTGTTTTCTTTGCAGCCTGATATAAAGATGATAAAGAAACGGATTGAGGACTTGATCAGCAGAGATTATTTGGAGAGGGATAGCGAAAATCCCAACACTTTCAAGTATGTGGCTTAGTCAAAAAGGCTGTTATCGGTTTTGTAAATGACTTGCATTCTTTTGTCGGACCATTGGATGGATTGGTGATTGAAAAAGACAAATTGTCTTTTACCTTCGTTTTTCAGAATTATTCTTCCTAAAGCTCTCTCTCTCTTTTATATATATATATTATACAATTACAGTAATTATACACACACATCACAAGATGGTAACTTGAATCTTTTAATCTTGAGCAAGTCTCACAAATCAAGGTCCTAACACTATACACTTGAGCTGTGAAGAGAACAAACAAGTTTATATATATAGGCCTTCTTTGTCTTCAATTTTCCAAGGTCGCTTTCCTTTCTTCTCCCGTAGTATATGACATGTGGGGAGTATTGCGTTTTTGATATTAGAGTGAGATCATATATTATTCATAATCACCGGTTTATGGATTCCATTGCAAGCCTCACCACATGCAACAGTTTCTCCATGTCCTGAAAACTCAAGTCAAGAGCCCTTTTGATGCATGTTATACCATCATTACTGTATCTGGTTTCATACGATTTTCCCTTTGCAGCTGCTAATGCAATCTGCGCTTTTCTTGACGCTTCCATAGCAAAGCTTACGTTTTGCGACTGCAACACCAATAAACAAAACATATTCAACTTTCACGTGAGGGAAATACTTGATATATGATGCAAGATTGTGTTACGCAAAATTTGATGATATTACACACAGAATACTGTTTTTGATGATGATTGTCTATGATGATGGTAATCAAATGATGCTATGTTTGTAGATGGTTCCTATTCATGTTGCTCAAGTAAGCTATTATCTCACTACTTCACTAAAAACCTGTTGATATTTCCATAGACGATTTATTTAGTCCTCTAAACCCAGCCTAACTGGAGCAGCTACAATGTTTTGTAAACATATACTAAAGTACAATTTTTTTTACGCCACCTCATCAAATCACACAAGTAACATAATTGAACTTACAAATGCCAAAAGCTGTGAAAGAGAGGAATTGTTTCCTGAAGAGATAACATGGTTTCCAGTTACGTTAGGGGATGATCTCACTGTGTTGGACATAGCAAACTTTTCCGCAGCCAATGAGTGGTTTGAATTTTCACCATCAGAAGCAAAGGAAGGAGATTCACCTGTTTAAAATCCAAACACGATTGAAAGATAATTCATCATAATCATGCTCACAGGGAACAACATCTTTATTCTTTAATACAATCTTGTATCTGTCTTAATCTACTAAAAGAAGTTTTCTTTTTCTAACAAAACAACAATCAAGCCGCCCATCTACTTGAAAATTTGTTCTGCGAAACTTGTTTTTCAACCACTAAATGCAGCCCGAGTGATTAGTGGATTTTCCTCATATGGTTTACATATAGTCCATTTTTTGTAGATACGGTAAGTACAAGTACTGTGATGTTCTTCAGATAACTTTAGAATACTGGCCATCCAAGAATTGTCCAAATTTTGATAAATTTGCCCACCAACAGAAAAATTTAGAATATAGTTTCTTTCTTATAACAGATAATACCTGAAGGAATCACTTGCAAAGCTGCTTGCAAATCATATCTGCATCTTCTTATGTTACCATGGGAGGTATAAGTTATCCTTAGATAAGCTACTTCCATACATTTATAAGCCAGAGCAGCAGCCCCCATATCTTTATTTTTCTCGTATTCATGAGCACAGAACCTGTTACATAAACAGTATAAAACTCATAACATCAGGACAGGGTTCACTAGAACATCTTAACATGCTAGAAATATCTATAGGCCACAATGCAGCAGCTGAGCTAAAATGAGAGGGCAACATGAACAAGTACCATCACAGTGAAAGGCTCCCTCTAAATAGTAAATTGGGGGACTTAATTGGGTTGACTATCAGAAGAATGCAGCTATCTCACTCCCATGAGGTGCACAACAAATCGAGTAGAAGAAAGTTACAAATTTAGATCATGTTGAATGCCAAACTTACTCGCAAAGTTTTGCTGTGCTGCCGTAAATATCCTTGGATCTGGCAATGGTCTTATGTGTAGCATTATCAATGCCAGATGACTCCAAAAGGGAGGCACCATGAAGAAACTTAAGAGCTGCCTGAAAGTAAACACCTGTGCTCTCGTGATTGGACACAGCATTCTGCAAAAGGTTACTGTCAATGTTAAGCCAAGGGAGAGACAACATACGTAACCACTGCAACATTTTCCATTAAAATGCCAAACCTTAAGACGATCAGCCATGTGTTTCAAGTCTGTAGCCTCTTTGATTGAGTTGGAGGCAGTCTGACTCGTGGATTCCTTTTTCAAAGGGCTTAAGCCAACATGATCCTTATGCATACTTCCATTTTGCTTTTGGTTTCGCGAACCTTCATTGTGGGTCACACTGTGATTATCATTCCGCAGTCTCGGTTTCTTTGTATTTGATATCTCAGTGCCGTGACCCAAGACTTCAACTTGATCTGTGCCAGCTGAGTTATTCTTTAATTTCTCAGTGGTCACTTCCAATGGGTTGCTTTTCCCACGAGAAGTGTTTGCTGTATCAGGTTTCTGTCGAGAAGAAAAATGACTACCACTTCTATCTAGCTTAGTATTAGGATCTTGATATTCCCTTGAGTCTTTTTTATTACTCTCCAAAGACACTTTTCTAGCAGGTCTTTTCTTGCTCCTGCTTTCTTTTCTTTTTACTTTAACAGCAGTGCCAAGATCTTGCACGTCATTCACCAGACCCCAGTTATTCTCTTTCGAAGGTGCAGATGACCCCTCTTCCCTACTCTTTTGCTTAGAGTCACCCTCTATGCAATTTTCACCAGGATATCTCCCTGGATTCTTTGGTTTAAAGTTTTCAATTGAACAATCTTCACCGTATGCTCTTTCTCTATCCTTGGAATTTTCTGCAGCCTTCTTTGTTGTCCCTGGTCTATCGATAGTGCTATAAGCCTCACCATCTCGGCATCTTTTTGACGTATCACCAGCATTAGAATCAGCATCATGGTATTCATCCCTCTCTGAAATTCTTCCTGATTTAAGCTCACCTGAGTCTAACACTCTCAAGGCCAAAGGGGTAACTGATTCAACTAGTGAACCTTTGACTTCGCGGACATTATTTTTGATAATTTCAGAGCCCAAATCCTTACACAAACTCCGAGAGGACGCTGTAAAAGGTAGATCGGAAGCACAATCTCTACCATTTTCTTGACTAACCCTTCTTTCCTTATCACAGCTTTCACTACTAAAAGGCAACTCTTTTTCATCACAACTTGAACCTTTAAGCCTCTTACTTTTTCTAACGTTCTCTCCACTTGACTCTATTACTGCAGCTTCTCTAAGTCTCATACAATCTCCACTTTCTTCATTTTCCTTCAGTTTCCTCTTTCTGTCATCACGTTCGCCATGCGAGGAAGCCTTAGCAAAATCCTTGACATTTTCGGCTGAGTCTTGAGTAATCATAGTTTTGTTAGTATCTAAAACGTCCAGAATTTGGTTGGATTTGTTGGATCCAGTTTGATCTACAGTGGAAAATCGTGATTTTCCAGTCTTTGGTTTCTTAGAAACCCCAGAAAGTTCCCTTTCAGATTCCATTCCCATATTCTCCATTCCTCCTACATGCGTATTCATCAAGCACATCAGATAATTTGAACACAAAGGAAATATTATAAGGAAATTCAATATCTTTCACAAATAATACCTTCAAGAGAATGCTTATTTTTCACTTCCCGTCTAACAATCTGCTTAGTGGTGTGCCTATCTTCATTCAAGTCACTCGGCTTAATAAGGTGTTTCAAATCAGGTTCACATACCAAATTTAGATGGTCACAAGCCTCCTTATCATTTTTAACACTGTTGAAACTCTCCTCCAATGCATTTTCTTCTGAAAGCTTTTCTTTCTCAGCTTTAAGTACCGGACTACTTTGTTTTTCTTCTTTTGATTCGTTCGAATCACCAAAGAATCCCTTATACATGTGTTCGGATTCTTTAATATCTTCCTGCAATTTATCTGGTACATTCTTCTTAACTATATTTACAGCCGCGTCCTTGCTTCTCAGACTATTCATGGAAACAATGGAGCTTGAACTTTTTTGTGACTTCTGTGCTTTAGGCAGTTTTGACTTTAAAATTTGCTCTTCATTCCTTGTCTCACTCTGGCTACCCTTAACCACAGAAGAACAATCTACATGTTCAATACTTGGAGCTTTCTCCCTCTTGGAATTACTTTCCAATGAGTTTAGAGGTTCACCTTTTATCAGGTACATGTCTTTTCTTACGTTAATACTTTCAGTTTCCTTAACACTTCGATCTGAAAATGCCACTACATTATCTTCTAGTTCCGGCTTTGAACCCATCAAAGATGCATCTTTGTTCGTTCCTCTTGATATAACCTCCACATTAGAATCTGATACTTTATCAATCTCTTTTGCTGGGTGGATATATGACGGTGATAGACAGGATAAAAGTGGAAGCTTCATAGTCTTGGAAACAAGCTCCTCGCAGGACTCTTTGTCAGCCTCTTTTTCAGTATTGGATACAGTATGATTTCTGTCACGCTTGTTTGACGGTGGCCTATACTTTACCCTATCCCTTAACTTTTCCTTCTTCCCAGTGGAAAACTTACCAGCACGCTTTTGTGAATCAGAAACAACCAAATCATCGGGTGTACTTTTTGAGTCCGACTTGTTTGCAGAACCATATCCAGCATCTTTCAAAATCTTTTGTTTCGATCCCAACTGAATAAGATCATCAGAGAGAGGTGATAACAGCTGATCTTTATGCAAAGGGAATGACACCATAGCCTACAAACACAAAGGAGTATGTCAAACTCATATTCATCATTGTCCAATCTTTAAGGAGAAGGAAGAAACAGAAAAAGAAAAGAAAATCACCATAAGAATTTTAGTCGGTGAATCACAAATCCCATTTAGGCCTTCTGAGAGGCAATTCACCCGCGATGCTGATGGTAGCATATTGAGGCCTTCGTTAGTATATGTAGAAACGGTTTTCAGTGACGAGAGGTCACTTGAACCAACTTTTATACGAAGTCTGAGAGTCTTATGATTTGATGGAGCAGAAGAAGAAATTTTTGTGTCAGGTTTTTGTTTGCTATCAGGTGTCCCTATATTACTTGATTTGACGAACTTTTTTAATTTGACCAAAACATCAGAAGCAGGAGGTTTCGAAGCGGATCCGGATATTGATAGTTCAGGTACAAGTGATGAAGCTAAGCAATTAGATCGACCCCCCTATAAACAGAAAATTGACATTCAATATAAAAGCTAAAATTCAAGCTCTAATCGAAGTTTGAGCTGTTTAGTGATCTGTACCAATTGGTTTTGCTGAACTTCTGGTGGAGTCTTAGGACGTGAACAAACAGGAGATCTCTGATACATAGACAAAAAGGAACCATAGCCACCAAACTTTGCACCTATAATAAAACATTGAAGTCAATAAATGAGATGCCTCAAAGGTAAACATAAGAAAGCAACAAACTTACCCAAATTTTCAGCTGAAACTCCACCTTCAAAATCTTTCTGAAAATGTCCCAAGACGTTTTCAAGTTTCTCATCCTTAAAAAAAAGGGATTCTATCTAAGTAGTAGTAGTAGTAGTAGAAGAGAGGAAAACATATATTGAGGTCAGAAGAAGCTTACGATATAAGAGAGAGCAACATCTGGGTCAACGCAAGAAACATAAGAATGTGTGCTTTCTTCCTCAAAGTCACAATCTTGCATGATTTCGTCACCTAATCCACCAAACCCTAACCCTAATTCGCTTCTAGCATCGCTACTACTCACCAAAATCATCTAAAACCCAAACCTATAATATAACATATCAATCGAAGAAGCTAAAATCTTCCAATTTCCTCAGAAAAACCCAGATCGATTGAGAGAATAATAAAAACTTCTAAAAACCCATTTACATAATAAGACTTGAACAAATCAATCAGCTGAATTCGTTGGAAATGCTCAGAACCGGATTCAGAATCCAGAAAGCGAATAACGACCAGATTTGGGAGAGCTCACGTGAAGAAGTTTGAAGAGAGAAGCTAAAAAGAAAAACTTGAAGATCGAAACGAAGGAGGAGATTCCTCACGTTGCAAATTCAAAATTCCGTTTTTTGATTCCTCATTCCCTTGTCTCTGTTTTCTCGAACCAAAAAAAAAAAAAAGAATTTTACTCAACAAAAATAATTTCCTAAAAACAAGGGAAAAAAACTCAAATTTTGATTTCGGACCAGCTCGCCCAAACAAAGCAAATCCCACGTGACTGTGATGTCATAGTGGTCAAGTACTCTTGTAAGTAAATTAGGATTTGTCTTCTTTTTTTTGCTATTATAATCTCCTTAATTATAACAAATTGTAATGTTTTTATTACTCTAATTTAAAAAACTTTCGCCATTTGGATTCTAAGCTTCAGGTAATCAAATGGAATTTAGTCACTTTTGTGGAGTTACATAGAGTTAAACATAACTCTATAAGTGGAATGACTAACCAATTAAAATAATTGTTAGCAAAAGTAATTCAATAGATAAATTTATGAAAAAATCTGGATTATTTTGGCTCTATAATATTAAAAAAAAATGTCGACAGAATGGGACCTTTCATGTGTAAATTTTAAAAATGTTTTTAAATCATGGATTTTGTATGATAGAATGAAACATGAGCGAGTATAATCCCTTATATATTTAAGATAATGGCTTGATAAGAACAACTTGCTGTCTCTGGATCAACATATGAACCTTGTTGTGATCATCCCATTCTTATGAATCGTTGTGGAAATTTTAAAGAAACCCTTTCCATTGAAATATCTGCTTCACCCAATCAAAGGTAAGAATTACTTGTGCATACCCAATCAAAGGTTATTCAAACCAAGAAACTTTTTGATTCCTATTTTAATTTTACTATGGATTGACTAACCAAATCAGCACAGAACTGTTTCAAGAAAATATTCTGGAAAAAAAAAAATGAAATGTCTCCATTATATGCTAATTTCTTGTTTGGGGTTGAAATGCAATTACTGAGAGGTTTAGCTGGAACGGCCTTGAAATTGATCTCGAAGCATCTCATACTTCTTAAGCTCAGTTATGGAGAGTGATGGCGAGAGCTGATCCATTGCCTACAAAGAAGACAAGTGAGTGAGTTAGTATTATTTTACATATGAAAATGGCAACTCTTTTTGATGGAGGAAATAGGTTTTTTACCTTTATAAAATCCACATACTCTACAACGACTGAATCCGGATCATCTTCTGGAGGAATATCCCCTGAATCTGATTTTGAGACCTGCATTTGCCAAGTAGGCAGATACAACACGATTTCAATAAAAGCTTTTCCAGAGACTTATATATAATAGTCTTAAAGTGTCAACCCTCTCTCTCTCTCTCTCTCTCACCTTTCGCTTAGCTGCCTGAAACCAAGCATCAGCACACAAGGCATACATATCAGCGCCGGTGAATGTAGAGGGACACTTCTTTGCTACTGAATAAAGAGATACATCTTCGCTTAACTTAAATTTCCGAGTTAGTGCTTTAAGGACCCTGTCAAAAACAAGAATTACGAAGCTTATAATTTTTTTTGTCACTGGACAAAAATTCTGCTTTTGCTTGTTTAAATGCCTAACCTTTCCCTGTAAGATGCATCAGCGTTGACTCCAACATACAGGAGTTTGTCGAATCTGCCAGGCCGTAAAAGAGCTGGATCAATCAAGTCAGGTCTGTTGCTTGCTCCTATAATAAACAGATCCTGGGAAGAGTCGCTGAGTCCATCAATCTCTGCAAGCATCTGAGAGACCACTCGATCCATGACTCCTCCAGAATCACCAGAAGCACCTCGAGCTGGAGCAAGAGAATCAAGCTCATCAAAGAAGATCACACAAGGTCGCGCTGACCTTGCCTGCAATTGAAGAAAACACGTTAGTTTAAGACTCAGAACCAAATATTCAATAGGCTTCTCCTAGGGAAGAAGACATATAACTTACCTTTTCAAATATATCTCGAACATTTTTCTCTGACTCTCCAATATACATGTTTATTAATTCCGGACCCTTTACACTGAGGAAATTTAAGGAGCACTCTGTCGCCACAGCTTTTGCCAGTAAAGTCTGTAAATGTAATTCAAAAACTCAAAAATATAAACTGCCAAAAACAGACTATTAAGAGACACTAAAAGTGCTTATGTACTTACTTTCCCTGTTCCTGGAGGGCCATAGAGAAGTACACCAGAACGTTTACGCAATCCGGACGAAAATAAATCTTTATGCAGGAGAGGTAATTGAACTGTGTCCAATATCGATGTCTTCACATCCTCAAGCCCACCAACATCATCCCATTTCACATTTGGAACCTAAGAATACAAATAAACCTTTTAAGTTATGTGCATCTCCAGTCACAAAAATATGCAAACTTGTCTCATAAATAGACAAACAAACGAGAAAACACCACAGCAAAAAAACTGTGAATGTTACCTTAGGAGCACCAAGGGCTGATGCATTTCTCTTCTTTGATCGATCTAAAGCTTTGGTAAAGTCTTCATTAGCTGTTAATGCATCACTACTGTTACCTAATTGGCTTGCCTGGTGTACATCAACTCCATGAAGATCATCTGACAGAGAGTTAACTTTCTTGGTCTCGGACTCTTGACTGATGTATAAGTTGGCACCAGCATCAGCTACAAGAGCACGCAAGTCCCGAGGAAGGAAGCCAGAAGTCTGTCCCACCAATCCCTTCATAAATTCATCTGAGCTGGTCTACAATGTGAAAATATTTATCCATCAAGCCTGAAGTTGTTAACTTTAGTTTGAAAATGGAAGAATAAATGGATCTGGTATCTCTTAGATTTCAATGAGAGGTAATTTAATTTAGCAAACTATATCATAAAACAAATACTTCAAGTTTTGGAGCATTGTACTCACATACATTAAGGAATTGAGAGACGCCTTGGAGGGACTGAGTCAGCATTTCAGATCTCTGTTCGTCATTCAAAGAACCCATACGTATTTCATGGCTAAAGCAACGCCTAATTGTTGGAGAGATACCCTCAGTACTTTCAGCAGATGCGATTAATAGCACTTGATGTCCCCTAAACTTCCCAACTTCATTTTCAGACTGCATTAGCACATATACAGATAAGGCATCATGGAAAAGGATTTCTAATATCAATAATTTCTCTTTTCTTTACTAATTACAGCACAGACAAATCTTATCAAGGGAGAAAAGATGCTTTATAGGGTACGAGGTCTAAAACCATTATGAGTTGTTTGAGAGCTTAGCTAAAATGGATTATGCGACAAAATTTTGGTAAACTGAAAAGTGAACTTAAGTGAAATTGTCCAACACGCAATGGAGAACCAAGGACAGAAATGAAAATCTTACGAAATTGCTATTCGATTTTTCTTCCGTGGAACTGTTTTCACCATTAGAAACTGGCTCAGTGAGTTCCCTAATCACGGATGCAATCTCAGAGGACACACCAACTCGATCACCCAGTGAACCATCCTGAGAACCCAGATTTTTAAAAACATCGAAATGGCGAAGCAGAAGTATCGTTGGTGAATACCTGTGACAATGAAACCAAATGAAAACAAGGCATTAACCAAGCTGTGGATAAAAATACGTTTCCAGAAAGAAGAGGTCATTTACTCAATGCAGTGCATAATGAATACCTGAAAGAAAAGAAAAATACAAGACTATATCGTTTTACCTTCGTGCCATATTAAAAGTCTGGGCCAAAGCAGTAGATGTTTTCCTCTCAGATGATGCTAATAAACTGTGGCAGCTATATTCAACTACATGGAGCCCCAACCTTCTAGCAACATAGTTAACAACAGTTCTCTTCCCACACCCTTAAACAAGCATTAGATACAAAAAGCTAATTAGCACGTGGTTCAGTTAAATGCATAAAGCATAATAAGGTCGATTTATGGCTTCTCCCAAATTACCACAATTGTAACACAGAAACATAGTCTCTTACTAGTCTTTCCTTAACATTGTTTCCAGAAAAAGTTTAACACTTAAAAACAGATATGAAAGTAAAGAATTTTCTTGATTAAACAGAAGTAAATGTACCTGGCAGACCATGCAGTAAAACAGCAACCCTGAGTTTTGAGGCGAGTGCTGATGGGCAGAGAGGTGGTGAAAGCACTGATGCCAAAATATTTACTGTCTCCTCCTGCAAGGGCATAGGAACCTTTGATCTATACACCAGCAAATCTGGTGGAAGACCAGAAGAGACAGTTCCTCCAAGGACAAGGGCGGTTTGGGAGTGATTGACTCGAAGAAACCTCTCATTAGAAGGTTCCATCGCGATAACCTGAGCAGAGGAAGTAAATTTTCAGTAAGTTCTGGCCAAAATGAGTCTTTTTCTGGCAAAAAAGAAAACCAATATTACCTTAAAATATATAAAGTCATCGCTTTCGGAGCACAACCTTTGACTACATGGAATACAAATGCTTGAACCACAATTCCAGTCGATGTAAATGCGAAATATATCGCCTCTTGACAGCTGTCTATCAGTTCCAAAATACTTATGTAATGCGGAATCTATTAAACCTTGTCGCTCTTCAGCTTCAAATGACGAATTGACTTTCAGGGTTTGAATGGTACCACACTCTGGGATTTTAACAAAAGAAACTCTCAGATGTGATGCATAGCCTGGAACATCAGACACAGGTTCCAAATCCAAACCAATCTTCAACCCATCTGCCGCAGATTTTCCGATAAATTCCTCGTCAAACTTAGCTTCAAAATACTTCTCCAAGACCCCGTTCCCTCGGTGGACGAGAGATTTCAGGCAAGATATATGCAAGCTAAGATTAAAAGCTAACATTGGGGACAAGTAAGCAACCTCTTGATCTAATAACTGCTGGGCCATTAAATCATAAGTGGGAAATACAAGCATCGTTTGAAGAGAGTCCGAAACGGGGACTTGAGTGACAGATGCATCTTCCAGCGTCGACTTGGGAGGATCAAGTACAACAACTTGCGCAACCCGTTGAATGCCTACTTCAATGTTCTTGATAACAACCTTGCATTTTTAAAACTCAACATCAAAAGCTACAACAAGTTTGTACATAACAGAATGCTAAACAAAGCAGCATATAATAATTTTGTGAAAGGAGAAACTGAACTTCTTAATCGACTGATTCCAACAACATCAGACGCAAGCAGAGTCTATTGTAATCTTAAAAGTGTCTTAACTTAAAAATCCCAAAAGCTCGAGTTTTTTTCTTCCAATATCCCTTCACAAGATAAGGAGGACTTACCAAAGAACCAGAGTTGATAGATAGTCTCTTGAGCAATTGAGTGGAGAGTCCAACCAATGCAGAGTCATCTAAAGAATCCAACTTTGCATCGGAAACATTTTCTCCGTCCCTCCGCCACCGGAGAATTCCCGCAGACAAACTAACGGTCCCTCGTAACAAGTCGGATCCGCCCAAAACAATCCCGTCGTGATTCAGAACTCGGTCACCATCGGCAGAGCTGGTTTGTAACGAATTGAGCACTGAACGGAGTGTGCTTCTGGTGGATGATAGAACCAAAGGATTCCGTCTCTCCACCATTGCAACGGAATCAAATCGAATTCCCTAATTAAGCAAAGGTAGAAAAGAGAAGAAAACCCTAATTTTCCATTACAAGCTTCAAGTTCCGCTCAAGTTATTCAAAGACGATGATACTCACAGTACGCGGACCGATGAAGAGGATCAGAATGATACTGGGAAGAAGATGACGGACCCACTTCAGGAAAAAAATATTAAATTTTATTACAATTTGTTTTTAGTTTTTACTATTTGTTCCTAATCAAAGTTTTACTAGAATCTGGTTAGTAAACAATACCAGTAAATTATTGGTCAACAACATAAGTATCTAATTAATCATAATTACCATAAATAAATAAATTATAGGTTTCGAGGGGCTCGAGAATTTTCGATCAGCCTAACATCATTACATAAACAGCCTTAAAGCTAAATATAAATCTCAATCGGTGTAATCACTACAGCTTTCTATTTCTTTATTTTATTTTCCTAACCAAAGCAAAGGAAAGGTCCTAATTTTGTTTGGACCACACACTAACAATTACATTTTTCATAACTAAAGCATGGAGTGATCTTAAAGCTTGGTCTCACCAAAATTATTCACATGACACTAAATAATATATTCCTTATGTCTTGTTTATATTTAGAAAGCTTTGCATTACAAATATATTCCATAGAAATCTAGTAGACAAAGGAGTATGTAGAAAATTTAAGTTAATGATCGTCTTAAACTTTTGTTAAATTAAAACGAAACTGGACAAACAAGAGAGTGGAGATAATCATGATAGAAGAAACCTTACTTAGCCCATAATAATGGATGGAAAATGCCTCAAAGGATACTAGCAACTTAATGTAGGTACATGCATGTATTGTTATTCCTTGAGTTAATTTTATCTGTGATAATAATGATCTCAGCTTTACACGTAATTAGCAGATTAATTAACCAAAACCCTTTTCTCTACCTTTTTACATCCCATTAACTACGTACATTCACTGCCATTACAACCGCAAGAGCTCTTCTTCTTCTTCTTTTCTGTGTGAATAGAGAGAGAAAGAAGAGAGAGATGGGACTTGTTACAGTCGGAGAATTGAAGCCAGCTTTCACAGGAAAGAGAGGGTTTCGTCTGAATTCAAGCATCAGACATGCCTCTGAATGGTAATATATATATATACTCTGTTTTAAAAACCAGTTTTGTAACTATTATTACCAAAATAACAACACTATTTAGTAAAAATGGTTCTTCTTTTTCTGCATTCACATCTTTGTTTCTTCAACGCACATTAGATGATAAAACTGTCAGAAAACGAATAAAAGATTTGTCCTTTCTGATGAAATTTTAGCAATCTTGTATGTGATGTGAATCTGTAGCCACAAGTCATTTATTGTTAAAGTCTTACTGTTCATCGAAACCAATAATTTCTCCATCTTATTTTGTATCTATGTGGAACATATCCGTACATTAACACTTCATCTGGTTCTAGTTCTGTCTTCATTTGAAAAAGTTTGATGTTGACATAACCTTTTACATGTCCCCTGTGAATCTTAAAATGTCTTCAAAACCAGGAAATATATACACTACTTTTGGCGATAAATCCACTGTTTCGTTATCCTAAAATCTTAGCGTCGGATTCATGGAATACAGAAGCAGTTCTTATATGATCATCAAATTCAAGTCCACACAGATCCGTTGACTCATAATTCAGAAATCCTTTTTTTTTATAGAAAATCTCAGAATCTTGATGGGTTTTCTTATCTGTTTTCGCAGGCCGATATCCGATGTCTCTAGTGATCTTACGGTTCAAGTTGGATCTTCGAGTTTCTGTCTTCATAAGGTAAAAGCAAACACAAGAACATTAAAACAGAGTATCCTCTGTTCTTGAGTTGTATTGAAGTTTTCTTGTTGTTTCGATTTCTCAGTTTCCTCTTGTGTCTCGGAGTGGAAAGATCCGAAAGCTTCTCGCGGATCCGAAAATCTCGAATATTTGTCTCTCGAATGCTCCTGGAGGATCTGAGGCTTTTGAGCTCGCAGCTAAGTTCTGTTATGGAATCAACATTGAAATCAACCTTCTTAATATAGCTAAGCTCCGTTGTGCCTCTCATTATCTAGAGATGACTGAGGATTTCTCAGAGGAGAATCTCGCTTCCAAAACAGAACATTTCTTGAAAGAGACAATCTTTCCGAGTATTTTGAATTCCATCATCGTTCTACATCACTGCGAAACCTTAATCCCAGTCTCTGAAGATCTCAACTTGGTTAATCGATTAATCATAGCTATTGCCAACAATGCCTGCAAAGAACAGCTAACATCGGGTCTTTTAAAGCTCGATTATTCGTTTTCGGGCACAAATATTGAACCAGAAACTCCATTAGACTGGTGGGGGAAGTCACTAGCTGTTCTGAACCTCGATTTCTTCCAGAGAGTTGTCTCTGCGGTTAAGTCTAAAGGGTTGATACAAGACGTGATCAGCAAGATTCTGATAAGTTACACGAATAAGTCTCTTCAAGGGCTCATTGTTCGCGACCCAAAGCTGGAGAAAGAAAGGGTTCTTGATTCGGAATGTAAGAAGAAACAGCGATTGATTGTGGAAACAATTGTGAGGTTACTTCCTACACAAGGAAGAAGAAGCTCTGTTCCAATGGCGTTTCTTTCAAGTCTTCTCAAAATGGTCATTGCAACATCGTCATCTGCTTCTTCAGGATCATGTAGATCGGATCTAGAACGAAGAATCGGTCTGCAATTAGACCAAGCCATCCTCGAAGATGTATTGATTCCGATAAATCTCAACGGAACCAACAACACGATGTACGACATTGATTCAATCTTGAGAATCTTCTCTATATTCTTGAACCTCGATGAAGATGACGAAGAAGAAGAACATCATCATCGTCAATTTAGAGATGAAACAGAGATGATCTACGATTTTGACAGCCCCGGGTCTCCAAAACAGAGCTCGATCTTGAAAGTATCAAAGCTAATGGATAACTATCTAGCTGAGATAGCTATGGATCCGAATCTCACAACCTCAAAGTTCATAGCTTTAGCAGAACTCTTACCAGATCATGCTCGTATCATCAGTGATGGACTCTATCGAGCCGTTGACATTTACCTCAAAGTAAGAAAATCCTCAATCTCAAATTCTAGAAACTGTCAAAACTCATATTAAGTTTTTTCTTTTTGACAGGTTCATCCAAATATAAAGGATTCAGAGCGTTATCGTCTTACAAAAACGATAGACTCACAGAAACTATCACAAGAAGCTTGTAGCCACGCAGCTCAAAACGAGAGATTACCTGTGCAAATGGCCGTACAAGTGCTGTACTTTGAACAGATCAGACTCAGAAACGCAATGAGCAGTAGCATTGGTCCTACTCAGTTTCTATTCAACAGTAACTGTCATCAATTTCCTCAACGGTCAGGAAGTGGAGCAGGTAATTTATAAGCAAACATATGCAAACCTCTTCTAGTAACACCATCTCATGTTGTCTGAAACACTTTTTGTTTGTTTGCTTTGCTTGGATCACAAGGAAGTGGAGCGATATCTCCTAGAGATAACTATGCGTCGGTGAGGAGGGAAAACAGAGAGCTAAAGCTTGAGGTTGCGAGGATGAGGATGAGATTAACGGATCTAGAAAAAGATCACATCTCGATTAAACAAGAACTCGTGAAGTCTAATCCAGGGACTAAGCTTTTCAAGTCATTTGCTAAAAAGATAAGCAAACTCAATTCTCTTTTCAGTTTCAGTAGTCTTAAACCTTCCTTGAGTGGCAAGGCAAGTTCTGAGAGCCGTTTCTTGTTTCAGAGAAAAAGACGACACTCTGTTTCTTGATTTTTAAAGAAAGCATATATAGTGAATGGGTTTTTATCGTTGGGGAGTTTCATTTGTGATTGCGTGTGCATGTATAGCTTTCTATAGTTGTGTTTGTGAATTGTGAAATGTGAGCGATGGTGTTTTGTCCGGTCTTTACTAGAGACTTGTATAAAAATTTGCATGTTACGCGAGAGCATTGCATACTCTGGAACTCTAATACGACACCGTTTTATTTTGGCGTCCTATCGACACCGTTTACATTGTCGTTTTCATACGACGCCGTTTTTAACACTTACAATTTTTTCTTTGTTTTTTTTTTTTTTTTTTTTTTTTCCTGTTAATCATATGCATTCAGCCTTTCAGGTCCCTAAACCCTAGTTTCTTTTCTTCCTTTTTAAGCTTTAATTTGTTTCAGAATTCTCAATATATATATATATCAGAATTTGCGGCATATAGATGAATCATTGCACAATATTAATGTCAATTTGCACTAAACCTCGATAAGATTACAGTATTAAAAGAAATAAATGAACAATTCACTAAAATGAAACTATACTATCTCTTCACCCATTTTGTTTTTGTAAGTAAATCCTAAGGTAAAACCTAAAACCATAGTTTCTTGTTAACTTGAAATCGCAATTGATGAAGAAGACTCAGTTTGCTTCTACCAGTCCATGATTTCTAATTTTGTATGACATGAATATCTTGAGATACTATACATATGAAATGAAACACAACTTCTTGAATATTTCTTGTTTCTTCTTGAATATTTAGTGCCAACGTTTATATTAGAAAATTTATTCAACCAAATAAGTCAATAATCACATGGTACAATATAAAATTCTTGCACATATATATAGTTGATAACTTATAGGAAAACACAAGGCATAAATAATCATAATATATAAATAAATATATATCACTTTAACGTCCTCGGGTAAATTAAATACATATTATGCAGATACGACTTTATTCCTAAACATTTGCGATTGCATTCAAAACACAAAAGCGAAATTGTATCAAATTGCTTTTAATTTCTTCTTCTTCTTCTTGTACTTAATATATATATGCTTCAAACACTAATACTAAAAGATATATAGTTATATATGTATATCTAAATAAAAACATTACGTGTTTGCTTCATATCCATAAGTCTTAAATCCATATGGCTCCAGCTCTTCGGAGCAACGAGGCTAGTTGGTTCCTGACTTGAAGAGACATAAGTTGATTTGCACCACCTACGAGCTCTTGCCCTATAAAGACAGCTGGCACCGTCGGTTTGCACCCAAGCTCGACCAGTGCTCGTTCGATCTCTGATCCATTAGACATTTCGTCTAGCTCATACACCGTTGGATTCGCACCGTAACCAGATATGAGCGACTTGATCGTGTGACTCATACAGCACGAGGTCTTGCTGAATATCACCACTGGCTTGTCTTCTAACAAATTTGATATCTTCTCCATTGTATTGGTATTGTCTGAATTAATTGTGTGTGTGTATTAGTGTAGGTTACTTTCTGTGTATTGGTGTAAGTAATGGGGAAATTTTGTTTGAGTCTGGGTTCTAGGAAAATCTTTGGTATTTATAGAGGAATTTTGTTTCGGAAAAATTATTGACAGCCCCTTTTATTTTACATGATTTGCTTGTTAAACCCTATATTGTTTTCAATTAATGCTTTATACTTTTGATTTTGTTCAAACCTCCATATGAAATCAAATTAAAAAGATAACCGTTTTTGTTTTGTCAACCGATAACAATCAATTACAATACTTGAGTTGATTAATTTGGAGATTTGGTTTTCTAATCAGTACATTAAATAACATTGGGGATTTCAATATATATATATTTTTTTTTTTGAATAACCGCGGGTCTCCCAAAGGCTTCCTAGGCCCAAAGACTAATCCCGCGAGTCTGGCAATTCCCCTATGTAAACCTGCCAGTGGCCGTGCCTCGAACCCTGGTGGCGGAAGTCACAGCTGTGACCCCTTTACCACTAGGCCACAAGGCCCGGTTAGATTTCAATATTTATCTTTCGATTTTTGGGACTATTTTGCAAAATAGATCATTGAAATGGCCGCGTGGGGAAAAAAAAAATCGCTAGATTATTGAAATGACAGAGCGAGAGAAAAGTTGAAGAACATTGGAGAGCCTATCAGAAAGAGAACCACAATCTACAAAGATTCTAAGCTCGTTTCCCATTTTTCAATAAATTCATTTTAATTATTAGAAGAATTTTTTTCAATATACGTACACTATGATGACAATATATACCACGAAAGAGCCGCCATTGTCGTTTAGGCCGTACAAGCAGGAGACGATCACGAGGAAGATGCTCCCCTTTGTACGTTCGGATTATTCCACCGACAAGAAAAGAGAACCAATCTATATACTCTCCCAACAATCTCAATCTATATTAATATTTAGCATGTAATTATGCGACTTAACTGATGATATAGAAACTTAAATTTGATTGATTTAGTACTCGAATAAAACCGTGATCGTGAAACTCTGTCCCCCAAAATGTACTCTAGAAACACAACGTTAAGGGCAATTAGGATAGAGATCATACTTGTAGTTGTAGGCTTTGTAGCACACATTCTTTAGTGATCCTGACGCTTTCAATGCGAGTTTGAAACATTAGGCTCTAATCAATAAAGAAGTTCATGTTATTATTGCCTTTATTTAATTTGTTTTATTTTAAAAAATTTATATATGTGAGAAGTAGTCAATTCCGTATTCATTCACGTGTTTTTTAATTCAGTTCAAACGTAAATTAACTAATTCACAACTTCATTGTTCCACTTTGTTATCAATCACAACATATATATTCTTAATGAGTATTACAAAAGGAAAATGATTCATATATGTACTTGCAGCTTCAAGTTGATCTATTTTAAAGATTCTATCTTTCACATGTATCTCCCATATGAACTTTGCCCTGAAAATGGTTTGGTTCATAACTTCATATCTGTACTTTGCCCTAAAACTGGTTTGGTTCATAACTTCATATATGTACTTCTCAAGCTTTTAGACTTTATTTCGAACGATCATCCAACGTACGATGACTTAGGACTTCGAATCTAGAAATTATACTTAAATATTAGGAGAGTTACGAAATAGTAACAAAAAACATCACCTTAACAGATCTGTCATTGGCCTAGATGATACATATAAAGATGATTCAATTTTTTTTTGGGTTGATAAAAGGTAAATTGCATTTACAATAAACAAATGTGTAGGAAGGAATGCGAATGCACTATTTTTTTTTCACGAGACAAAAGAACAAAAATCAATGAAATTGGGAAACCTGAAAACTGTCCAAACGAGATATAGTGAGGAGGAACGTGTCGTCGGTAGAAGAAGGTCTCGTTCGATCCATACTATCGAGAACATATTCGACATGAAGAAGAGATTACAATTGGACCCAACTTGCTTTTGTGTTCCGGAAATTTATTTCTATTTTTCTTTATCTAAATTTTCAAATAATGTATCAAATAATATCCAAAGAAATTATGCGTATATGCGGGGAAAATGAAAAAGCAGTACTGGTAAGCTGTTTAATATTCCAATAAGGCAATAACATGATAGGCCACGTATCTCTCTCAAATAAATGAGTTTACACATTTATTCATATTTGAATTCGATGCTTTTGCATGGATGAATAATAATCTTCTTTTTTTCCCCTAGTTCATTCGTATATATATTTCAAGATCCTTGTGGTATATAAAGTAAATTGGCTCCATGGAAATTCGAAAGGCCGCTTATTCACATGAGGTCACACATGAATTGATTTAACTAGCCGTTTATGTTTTTTTCGTGGGGGTAAATGAGTTTTATGGATGAAGCTCTATCTTAATCCATAAATGATCAACACGTACATCAATTATATGTTATAACACGATTTTTAGATAAATCAGTCATTAATAAACCATGATGAAAATTCTCTTGCAGGTAAATTAGTATTAAAAATTGCAAGACAAACATTACTTAACAAACAATGCAGTTAGCTAGTTTTGTAGTAAGAAAACATGATGTTAACATCTCTCATGCACATCTATAGAAATAGAATTTTTGATTTATGTATAGATTCGACGAGTTAGTACCTATTTGGCCTTTTGTCGCGTATATAACTGTGATTGATGTATGATAGTAAAGTGTCCATCTATATTAATTTCCTAGTGAACTGTAGTTACTGTAGTTAAAGCTGTAAATTTAGAGGTATCTTAAATTTAAATTCAACTGCGTACTCCAATTTACCGGACCATTAATTAAACCAATCGAACTGGCCAGATTCTGGCCCAGTGGGCTGCTGGTTAGTTTTTGGTGAAATTCAACGCCCAGAAGCGAAGGAGCATGACACGTGGCAATTAAATAAAATATATTATTTTATTATTATCCTGCAATGCCAAACTCTTCTTCCTCAAGAACAAAAGGCACCGCTTCGGAAAAAAAAATCAGACTTCTGATTCGGAACTGTTGTGATTATATAGCTTCGCAAATTTTCAATTTTTACTGCTTTTTGAGTGATAATTTCAGATTTTTTTTATCTGTGCATCCATCAATGGAGGTTTCTTCTTTCTCCACTGTACCCAGATACTGTAACTCTCGCTCCTCTGTTCCAGGTTTCTCTTCTGTTGACAATTCTCACTTTTTTCTTATCGGATTTTTGATTAAGAGCTTGCTACCGATATTAATTAATCTCACCTTTTTCTCGATTAATATTGCAGAGTCGTCCCGTTTCAGAGGATTCAAAGTTCACTTATTGGACCAATCTCTTGTTCCTCTTCATTTGAGCATTCGAAAAAGAAAGACCACCCCTCGTTTTTTGGTGGGTTTCGAAAGTGAACAATTTTAGACTCATATTGACTCTCTTGTGTTTCGCTTACTCTTCTGTGTCAACTGGAATTATTCGACGCTTGCAGATTTCTTGCAGTCAGAAGAAAGATGTCACTGTTGTTGATGGAAGGTAAAATCCCACTACTACTGTGTAATTATCAATCTCCTACCCATCTCAGCAGCTTGCAGATATCTAGTCATTGTATAGAATCTTATAGTTTATGGTCAACAAGTTACTCTTTTGTAAGATGATTAGACTGATCCGGGCCGATTCTAGACCCGTCTTTTCTCGATCCAAACTTATACTTAGGACTCAGGAGGCCTTTTTCTTTTATGAGTTGTTTAGATTAGATTCTTGTTCTGTATTCGTAAGACTCAAGAAACGGATGAATGATACGTATCTATTGTTTCCTGTTAATTACATGTGTGTTTTTGTTTACTTTTCTTCTCATTGCTTCTACCAAAGTATTGACACACAATTTTTTTTTCTTGGAAGTTGTATGGATGAGATATATGATAAGTTGGCGGAACGTCTTGTCCCCACTGCAGCAGCAATGTTTAGCCCCAATCTTAAGTAAGTTTGCTACTCTTGGAAACCCTCTATAAATGGTGTTCCAGATGTTTTGTTAGCTGCCCGAGCATTTTGATAACTCTTTAATAACTATGTGTGTTGACTCGTGTAGACGTTTGGTCGGTTTGGCTGGTCCTCCTGGTGCCGGAAAAAGCACATTAGCAAATGAAGTTGTGCGTCGTGTAAATAAGCTATGGCCTCAGAAAGCTTCTTCTTTTGATGCTGAGGTTAAGCCGCCGGATGTTGCTATAGTACTTCCCATGGATGGGTTCCATTTGTATCGTTCGCAACTCGATGCTATGGAGGTTGGGCTCATAATACTTTGCTGAGTTATGTTTCGCTCTTTCTGTCTCTTGCTCCTTGTTTTTAAAGAGACTTTTGTTCTTTCACTCTAGGATCCCAAAGAAGCCCATGCCAGAAGAGGGGGTGAGATCTGTTAGAATTATCTTATACATGAGATTTTGAGAAATGTTCAAAATTGGTTTGACCCTTCTATCCATTAATCAGCTCCTTGGACTTTTGATCCTGCGCTACTACTTAACTGTTTAAAGAAGCTGAAAAACGAGGTAAAGAGGTGGTTACAAGATCTTGTTGACCTTAGGATCTTGGAGTAAGGAGACTTACATTAGACTCTGATTAGTTTTCAAGCTTTCCAGGGCTCAGTTTATGTGCCATCATTCGATCATGGAGTTGGGGATCCAGTTGAAGATGATATCTTTGTTAGCCTCCAGTAAGTAGTCAGTAGCTTCCTTTTTGTCAAATCCAAATCTAGTATCATATGAAATGGTTTTGTTTGCATATTCCCGAGACAATTAGTTACTTTGTGTCCTCTTCTTACAGGCATAAAGTGGTAATTGTAGAAGGAAACTACATCTTGTTAGAAGAAGGGTCTTGGAAAGACATCTCAGATATGTTTGATGAGAAATGGTAAGACTAATCAAAAGTGTTTTTTTCCTTTTCTCCCTCACTCGTGTGTTTGAGTTCGATTTTACCAATTAATGTCTTCCATCTTCAATTCAAGGTTCATCGATGTGAATCTCGATACAGCAATGCAACGTGTTGAAAACCGGCATATCTCAACTGGTATGTACAATTTCTTCTTTCCATTCTTAAAGAATTGCAATGACCTCAGAGAATCTCGCTTTAGTTTAATACCTTATCCTTCTATGCGAATTACAGGTAAACCACCGGATGTTGCTAAATGGCGGGTAAAAGCTCTGGCTCTACTCTACTTAATATTCAGTTACATGGTTTCAATGGTTTGTTCAAGGTATCTAGCTGCTTCTTTTTTTTCAAATTTGGATGGCAGGTGGATTATAACGATCGACCCAACGCAGAGCTGATAATAAAGTCAAAGACAAACGCTGATTTACTGATCAGATCTATCAACATTTGAATCTACTCTCTTGGGGGATATTGCATAAAAACAGAGTAAGATGAATAACGAAGACACAATCTTGCGCTTTAAGGGAAGATTGTCTTTTCCTTGTAATGGAAACTTCCAATAAGCAATTTTGTTTGCAGTAAACTGTGTATGCTAATGTTCTCTGCATACTCACGGATTTTGTTCAGACATTTGTGTTTTGTTTTATATACTTCTTGTAGATATATCAATATGACAAGTATTTGACACAGCTGGAAGTACCTAATTATAAATTGATCGGTCCAGCTCCCAACTATATATCATTTTGAATAGTTTTATGATCTATCCAAATTAGTGCAAGAGAAAAATATAAAGAGGAAAGAACATAATATAATAATAACATTTTCTTTTTCCTTTTTTTACATAATTCATCAATACGATCCAACACCTTTCATTACTATTACTACAGCTAGCTTTACTACCCTCAAAGCCCTTCGTCCTGAAAATCACACTAAAGTCTTTGAACCAAAAAGATTTACTTTCATCAAAATGATAGAATATTAGCCAAGCAAGCAAGCGAGGGCTTTTTCCTTCTTTTGACAAATCCCATTTTTACTTCTTACTGCACAAATCCTACTTAGATTCCATCTCCAATGCCTTTTTACTTACCTTTCATCAGTCACAAAAGTCTAGTAGTGGGAAACAGAGCAAAATGTCAATCTTCAGCTGGGGACCGTTGGATGCTGTCGATAAAATAGAATCTAGGGTGGAGGATTCATCTCTGGTTTGACGATTGAAGAAGATGTGTCTGGTGGCTGAGAATGGTAAATCGCCATTGCCAATGAGATCGGCATTATGCAAAGAGCCTTTGATTGCAAAAGCTGCATCGCTGCTCCAACGTTTTCTTCCATCAGCTTAGCCACTTGCCGCTCTGTCCCATCGTTTGACCATTTCTCCCACACGGCCTGCGTTTCATCCTGAAGAAAGTTTTTACACCAAAAGTCAGTGAAAAAAACCCATCAACAAAAGTTCTGTTCTTTTAATTAAGTCTCTCTCTAGTCTAACCTCAATTGATGATGACAATGGCATTTCAGTGACTAGTGGTGCGACAGCACCGGCTCCACCAAGACGGCTCATGCTCAAGACCTGCCATAGTTGACCAGAGATAAAGCTTATGAAGGAAAAATAATATCAAAGCCCATCATTGCATAATATTCTTCAATGTTCTCATTAGCTTTATTACCATAGTCCTCAATTGTGATGATTCTCCCTGGGAGGGAAGCAATAAAAAGTGAAAGAGACTAATGCCAAAAACACACACAATCATGTGCTCTTTGATTACACTTGATTACCAGATTAAACAATTATAATCTTTTATTAAGATTGAAATTTTGGTTGAAGAGAGTAGGTGGTGGTGGGGACCAAGGATTTATAACACCAAATCCTTCTGGGTATTTTAAATAATCTCTTAACAAACTTCTCATGATAACATTTTCAAAAACCAGAAAATAGAAAACTGAAAAATGATGGGTTTTTACCTTAACTTGGAGCCTGAGAAACTTAACATAATCCACAATCTCATCGATCATAGCAGCCCTATCTGTCTGCAAAAGGAAAGCAAAAGAAACAGATGTGAATACCGTAGTTTCTATATGCCAATCCAATCACAAAGCTTTTCTCTCATTGACAACTCCTGTTTTCTGACTGGTTTTGAGATCTCTTTCAAGCTCTATTTGCGACATGAGAACAGTAGCTGAAGCTCCATAAAAAAGATACCAACCTTGTTAACGGTAGGTACAAGTTCCTGCAACGCCCTGATCCGTTCTGCTATTCTTTCTCTACGGAGCTGTTGCAAAACAAAAACATTCAGGTTAAGTCTTAGTAAGTAAGAACTAACAGAACTTTCTCAACCAAAAATAGGAAAAGAGACCAGAAGATAATAAAGTGTATCAAACATCTTACCCTCTCAGCGATGCTATGTGGATCGGTGGCTTGACCTCGCCTAGCCCTAACTCTAGGTCGAATTGTAGAATGTTGATGCGGCATTGGTGGAGCTGGCTGTGACATTGGCTGCCCATGGAAAACCTTCCAAGAAAAACACAAAACAATGCCGCAGTAACGTTAAGAAAAAGCTTAAAACCCACTTCTCTCACAAGAACCGTCGCCATTAGAGCAGTTAAAGCAAAAATTTCAACTTCATCCACATGAGAAAAGAAACTAAAGAGCAGATTTTCGGAAAATCTAATTTGGACATAAAGAACACTCTTTTATACTAAAGTTGCCTGCAAAGCTAATTTTAGTGTTATGACTTAAAAAAAACATCAAACTCCTGAACTTGGGATTCTTCAAAAACAAGCGAATATCAACGAAATCTCAACAATCTGAGCCAAAAACTCCCGGTAACTATCAAATTTAGACCTAATCCCGGCAAAATTCTAGCTTTCATAAAAGGGTTTTCTCAAAAACGTCAACTTTTTTAAACCCTAAAGATTTTAATTTCACTTTTTGTTTTCTCGAGAACCACAAACACAAAAAAAAAAGATAAAACAAAAACAGAAGATTTAAAGAGAAACTTACAGGTTTCATACGATTATCAAGAACATCATCTTGGAAACGTTTACCAGTTCCATGAACACCATCAGGTTTAAGAAAGCCATGACCTTTCCCTTGATCAAGACTTAATCCCAACGGAAACATCTGATTATGAAAACCTACAGGTCCACCTCCTCCAATGGCACTCATATGATTATGATTCCCTTCGTCGCCTGAACCAAGCTGAAGCATCATCGGAGGTGGACCCACACCGCTTAATCCTCCGCCAATTCCAGACAGACCAGAACCAGAAGACGCAGAGAAGTTGGAAAGCCCGAGGATCTGCTCAAAGAAATCGTCGGTAGGAGATGGATCGGAGATTGTATCATGTGGGTTGTTGTTGTTATTAGCCATGGAAACGAGTAAAGGTTTGAAATTTTCGACTCAATAGAGTTGGGTGAGTTTAAAGGTAGCGAGTTACAGAGAGGTCGAAGAACAAGTTTCCATGCGAATCTTTTGTGGAGTTGTGTTAGGTGAAGGAGAATGATGATGCTTAAGCTAATGAGGACGAAGAGACACAGACGAGAAAGGATATGACAAAAAGACTCACTTTATGCTCTCTCTCTCTCTCTTTTATTTTTTATTTTTGATAAAAGGACCTTACTTTATCGATTATTTCGTTTTTGCCCTTGTTCTTATTTACCTTCCAGAAACTTGAAGTGGGCTTTATTTTGTTTTTAAGTGGGCTTTTTGTTTTGACTTTCTTTAATTTATTCACATCAAATTAAGAAAAGGTCTTTTACCAAACTCTTTTTAGTAGAATGTTAATAACCAATATAAAGTTTTTTTAATTATATTTATATATTATAAATGATAATGGGAAATTCTCCGCATTGTCGGGGTCGTCATCATCTCGTTAGTGGTAGAAAATAAGAGAGTTTTTTAATTTTCTGTGTTTTTGTCGTTTTTCCGAAATCTAGCACTCATGGAGTAAAGTTTCTACTATCCAATAGAAAAATGACACGTGTAAAATTTTGCCATATGGTCTCACCACTTGTTCATCCTAGTGCTGAACCGTTGTCCAACTCGTTATCCATTTTGAAAACACAAAACAAGAGTTTATATTTTGGGAGAATTGGAAAAAAATATAATCACGAGTTAAAATATGTCAGCAAAAATGGGCTGGATCAATTTTGTTTTGTTAAGTTCCATAAACTCAATCATGGGCTTCCATAAGAAAATTGCAAGAATTTTTTTTTCCTCTTTAATAAATTCTCTTCCCTCTTTCCATTAATGGCAAATTCACACTAAATTTCAGTTGACCCGTCAAATAATAAGTAAAAAAAAGCCACGTGGCTGTACTTCTGACCGGCCAAAGTCTCCAATAACCTCGGCGACTTGGATGGTGAAAAATCGACGAACAACAAAGAAACTACATTGACGAAACAAACAAACAAAAACACAGAAGAAGGACCAAACAAAACTAAACTAAAAAAGAAACAGAGGAGAAAAAAGGAAACGACGAGGAAAAACAAAAACAAAATAAAACAACCCCTCGTTCTTCCCTTTTCTCTCTTCAGATCTTTGTCTTTTTTTCTTTTACATATTCTTTTTTCTTTAATACATTTTAACTAATTAAAATCACAATAATAATGGGTTCGAGTAAATTTAAACGAGCCATAGGAGCCGTAAAGGACCAAACCAGCGTCGGTCTAGCCAAAGTCAACGGTCGAAGCGCTTCTTTATCAGAACTTGACGTAGCCATCGTCAAAGCGACTCGTCACGAAGAGTTTCCAGCAGAAGAGAAATACATAAGAGAGATTCTTAGCCTAACTTCTTACTCACGCAGTTACATCAACGCTTGCGTTAACACGCTTTCGAGACGTCTTAACAAAACCAAATGCTGGACCGTTGCTCTCAAAACCTTGATTTTGATCCAACGCCTCTTAGGAGAAGGAGATCAAGCCTACGAGCAAGAGATCTTCTTCGCCACTCGCCGTGGGACCAGGCTTCTCAATATGTCTGATTTTAGGGATGTTTCGAGGTCGAATTCTTGGGACTACTCTGCGTTTGTCAGGACTTACGCGTTGTACCTTGACGAAAGGCTTGATTTCAGGTAAGAGTGCTCGTGCTTGATCCAGGTTTCGGTTAGGGCTTTTCGGGTTCAAGTTAATTATGTGATTTGAATGATATCTAAGATGCGGTTTTGGTTTTGTTCATTTCGATTTTCGAGGATGCAAGCGAGACATGGGAAACGTGGAGTTTACTGCGTTGGAGGAGAAGCTGAAGAAGAAGAACAAGATCAAGCCACTGCTGATCTCTCCACGGCTATCGTGGTCAGGTCACAACCGATCGCCGAGATGAAAACAGAGCAGATTTTCATCAGAATCCAACATTTGCAGCAACTTCTTGACCGTTTCTTGGCTTGTCGTCCAACAGGTATAACTTGCTTCTCACGGTTCTTTTCTCTCTGTGATTTGTTTCTTGGATAAAAAGTTATATGTGAAAATATATGTGAAAAAACATCTTCAACAGGTAATGCGAGGAACAACAGAGTTGTGATTGTGGCTCTGTATCCGATAGTGAAGGAAAGTTTTCAGATATATTACGATGTAACAGAGATAATGGGGATTTTGATTGATCGATTCATGGAGTTAGATATTCCTGATTCGATCAAGGTCTACGACATTTTCTGTCGGGTCTCGAAACAATTCGAAGAGCTCGATCAGTTCTACTCTTGGTGTAAGAACATGGGGATTGCACGGTCTTCTGAGTATCCAGAGATAGAGAAGATCACACAGAAGAAGCTTGATCTCATGGATGAGTTTATAAGAGACAAATCTGCTCTAGAACAGACCAAGCAATCAAAATCTGTTAACTCTGAAGCCGATGAAGAAGATGATGATGCAAGAACAGCGGAAGTAAATGAAGAGCAAGAAGACATGAATGCAATCAAGGCCTTACCTGAACCTCCACCAAAAGAAGAAGAAGACGAAAAACCTGAGGAAGAAGGAGAGGAAGAAGTGATCATAGAGAAGAAACAAGAAGAAATGGGTGATTTACTGGATCTTGGGAATACAAACGGCGGTGAAGCAGCACAAGCTGGAGATAGCTTAGCATTGGCTTTATTTGACGGGCCATACGCGAGCGGTTCTGGTTCAGAGTCTGGTCCAGGATGGGAAGCGTTTAAGGATGATTCGGCGGATTGGGAAACAGCTTTGGTGCAAACAGCTACAAACTTGTCGGGACAAAAGTCAGAACTCGGAGGAGGCTTTGATATGTTGTTGCTTAACGGAATGTATCAGCACGGCGCTGTAAACGCTGCTGTGAAAACATCGACGGCTTATGGAGCCAGCGGAAGCGCGAGCAGTATGGCATTTGGTTCTGCAGGAAGACCAGCAGGTTTTAAAGAAACATGACTTTTCTCTGTTTTATACTTTCTAATAACTTTGCTCTGTTTTTAGTTCCCTATAAGTCTATAACTTTTGCTCTGTTTCCTTTTGCATTCTGATGATTTGACATGAGTATTCTATTGATTACAGCAACTATGCTGGCACTTCCAGCACCAGCAACGGCTAATGGAAACAGCGGAAACAATAACAGCCCGGTTCCCATGGATCCATTTGCAGCGTCATTGGAGGTTGCGCCGCCAGCATATGTGCAGATGAATGATATGGAAAAGAAACAGAGGATGTTGATGGAAGAACAGATGATGTGGGATCAATACTCTAGAGAAGGAAGACAAGGACACATGAATCTAAGGCAAAACCAAAACCAACCTTACTCTTACACACCTCAATATTGATTGTGCGCCATAGAAGAAGCTCTCCTTGAGTTGTGTCAGCTTTTTGGTTTTGTCTACCAATCAGTTTGGTCTTATAGATCTACTAATCTTTTTGCAAATTTTTTAATTTTTTTTTGTTCTTGGGTCAAATATTCATTGGGGCATTTGTGAGGTTTGCTTCTGTAATTGTAATCTCTGGTATAACTTTAAAAGAAAAACTTAAATATGTTTTGATATCACAATTATATCTAATCTCTCTAGTACTAGCTCTAATGCTTCACACCATAGCTTTTGTTTGATTTGCCTGCAAAAACAGAGAATAGTCATTGATAAAGATTCTCAAATTTCTTGTTTAAGAAGTTGTCTTGTCAAATTCGACATTAAAGGATCGCAAAAGGTTTTCATTCTTACAGAATTCAAAGCATGGTTGTTTCATAGCAGGATCATCTTCGATCGCTGGAGGCTCCCGACCAAACATCATCTTACAGCTAAGATCATTAAAATCTGCAATACAAATGTTAATTAGAAAAAATGAAAATGATTGCTTGTGTCTTAAGTCAAATCGTTGACTTCTTAGAAAGAATGATCACACATCATTATTCAGCTTGAAGACTTAATGGGTCTACTTGTACTTAATGGTGTCCTTAGTGGTGAATCAATGGGACCCCTAAAGATCACATTAATCCTCCACAAGTTGAGAAGTGCAGGCTACTATGTTCACCATATATTATTAAGTTTGATATCAACTGTATTATCTATGCCCAAATCTTCCTGTTTCAGTGATTGCAATTATAAAGTAAAAAGCAAATGAGATTCAGGTACCGGGCTCCATGTAGATAGGCATTCCAAGTGAGTTTTTGATGAAGATTTGGGATGGAATCTTACAAATATGAGTGCACATACCAACACAATTTGACTGCTCAAGAAACCTACAAATTAACAACAGTCAAGGACATGATATAAGTTACTGATCTCAACAGTGAAAATTAGCGGTTGGTGGTTGCTGTAATGTAATGATTGTTTGTGGAAGAATGCTTTTGATTTATGTCTGAAGTTTAGTGATCAAATGGGACCAAATAGAGAGAATACACTTAACCTGCACTTCTCTATGTACACAACACTCTTCTCTTTTCTTCCATTAACCTCAGTCTCCCTCACCTTGGCAATAAAGTTCCCGCATTAAAACCCATGAAAATGTTGAGATAATTTTAACTCAAAAAGACAAAAAAAAATTAGGGTCTTTTACCTCTGAAGGTCCAACAAGCCAAGCGAAAGATATTGTCGTGAATAGAGCGAAGAGCTCCCTCGAGAGTTTTGTAGGTGGAAATGCCATTTTGATCTGTAAATTCAGCAATAAATGTTAAAAATGTTCATATTTTGGTGCTACTTGATCTAATTAATCCATAAAAACTTACCAAGGAGCTTATCACTGTCGGTAACGCTCTGTCCAAAGAGCTAAGAACAAACTCATGTTGTTGCTTGGTGTCAAAGTTACGCGCAACCCTTGTTGCCGTGTCCACTAACCTATCATAATCGGTACTCTTACTGCTACTACTAATCCCTGAAGAAAAAATTCTCAGATTTCTTCCTCAAAAAGTATTATCTTTTTAACGCACTAAACAAGCAAAGATCAAAGAATAGATGTGAGATAGATACGAACCTGCTGCGTCTTGAAGATTCTTTGATAAATAATTGATTGCAATTTTCGAGAAAAAGCTGTCCTCAATACTGGCATTCTTAGTATTCGATGGCTCAATTCTTGCGGTCTCTTTTGCAGCCTTGAGTTCACCGGAGTAGACAGGCTTGGAGCTGAGAGTCGGGGAAATGCTTGAGCGTCTATCTAAGCCACTTCGAGTATCGTTGAATCGAGTTGTGAAAGTGAGGATCTTGGTCTGAGAAAGTGATAGCTTAGTGTTCATCTTCTGGTCTTTGTAGAAGAAGAGCTTTTGGCAGAAATTTGGTTCTCTGTTTTATTTTTCTAAGGCCAGAAATTGACGTCTCCAAAGTATATATATATGGCCTTGAATGCCTGTATCTTTTTTTGTCTCTATCTTTTATTAAAAAGATTTCTTTCTCTTTTTATTAAAAAGACAAAAAAAAAAAGTCCTTTCTTTTCTTTTTTTCCGGTAAAGACAGAGTCCTTTCTAAGAAAGTTAAAACGAGAAAACAATGAAGAATTTAGAAAATTCTCATTTTTCTATCTTTTGGAAGATATTGTTTAAACCTCGAGTGGCACATCATATTTTTCTCTCTCTTTCAATTTATGACTTGTAGATCTTTTCAAAAGGCTGAATGGTTAAAGTGTTTGAAATGGTATTTAATCTTCTTTTTTTTCGGTAAAAATCTGCAAAAAAGTTATTATCATGCATATCAATTTGAATTAGTTATAAAAATCATTATTATTTAAAGAAACATAAATATAAATATCACATATATTTTCGACAAAAAAAAAATCACATATATAATATAAATAAACACATAGTTTTGTGTGAATTTACTCTAATAAATTAATATGCATTTTGAAAAAATCTTCTTTAATGCATTTGACAGCACAAAATTAATCTCGTTGACTTACGAGTCGTATTTCTTTTCTTCTCTGTGGTATGTGGTCTTGTTTTTTTTTTTTGTCACTGTTTATTATAAACCTTCAAACGAAGGAAGAGAAACGAGACTGCAACAAAGCCGGCGGAAAGAGTTAATTCCCCGGAGTTTTGGCCGGCGGAAGACAAGTATTCCCCGGAACTAAAGTAGAAACGAAAATTACAACAGTAGAAGCCAATTAAAGGCATAAAACCACAATCGAAACAAACGAAACCTAAAAATTTAACCCCTAATTAAATCCATTGAGAAGCATCTGACAACACAATTACTTCTTTGCCGCGAACTGAATTTTGTTGATGTAGATGAAAATCACCACAACCACCGGAAAATTCAGAACTACTCGTCCTCACTTGGTAATTAAAAGACTTATGAAATTGAACCATCTACTTGCAAACCCAGCTTGATGGGGCTTCATTGATGAAGCTTTGGAACCATCAAATACCTGCTGACATCGGAAGTAGACCTTTCAGATCTTGACCCAGATCTGGTCGTGAATTCTTGTTGGAGGAAGCTGAAGGAGCCGCCTAACCGAATCATCACCCATCTCAGAGATGAGAGACTAGGATCAATCGGTTGAAGGCCTAGGGAAGAGAAGTTATATGAAGGAGCTGAAGACGCATGAGAGCTAGGGTTAAAATTGATTTCGAGAGTCGGTGGCTTAGGCACATCATTGACCACCACGAGGACTGGCGCGAGACCTTCGCAGATCTACATCACCACTTCACAAAAACCAAAATAAAAAAGAAGAAAAAAGCTAGACGAGACACCGGAGACTGACGGTGAAGCCCTAGACATAAGCCAGCCAACCACCGTTGTAGAAACCGACGGATGCTGGACACGAGCCGACCATCACCGTAAAGAGAAACGGACGATGTCAGAACAAAAGCCGGCCAAACATCGCCGGAAGGAAAACCGGACATCTCTGCTGAGAAAGCTAGAAGATTTCGGGCGGATAGCCGGCCAACGGACACTGAAGAAGCCGCCGTTACCGGAAAAAGAAACTCCGAAGACTTCCTCTCTGAAAGATAGAGGTGAGAGAAGAGAGCGAAGTCTTCGACGCCTAGTCTCTCATTACCATGGTTCTAAATTGGTTAACTTTTGTATGTGGTCTTGTTTACTTGTTGATTTACTAAATATATCAAGCTTTTGGATAACAAATATTGATAGTATATGAGAAGAAAAAAATCCAACGAACAAAAAAATTCCCTGGCCAGACTTTGGTCTGCTTCTTCCTATGTGGTCCTGTCCTTAAGTTCCATGGCCAGCTCTCTCTCTCTCTCTCTCTCTCTCTCGCACTCAAGAACCAAAAAATTATCATTGACATTGAAGCAAAACATGAGGAATACAAAAGGTTACAAACTATAAAAATAATGCAAGAATTGCATCTGAGAAAATACAGATACAGATGGGGCTGTAAATGCTAATTTGCACAGCTTCTGCTATTTTCAATGAGTTTTCAAGAAATTTTAAGTAAGAATACAAAAAAAGGCCGCAAAAATACCATACTGTACACAGTACACACACTTTCCTTAAAAGCTTGTAATCTTCCCATCTATTTACACAAATTCTCAAACCAAACCTCTTCTCCTTCTCCTTCTCAAACCCGAAAACTCACCAGCACAACAGAGTTGAGAGTGGCTCGCTATGCTCTCTTTCTGAGCTAACACTGTTCAGACTTTGGTCTGCTTCCTCCTATGTGGTCCTGTCCTTAAGTTCCCTGGCCAGCTCTTTCGATTCTAGTCAAAGAAACCAAAAGGGGATTTACTGGTCTCTGCTTTGGATTCTAAACCGATGAAGCCTGTTTTAGTGAAGCCTGTTTTAATGAAGCCTGTTTTAATGAAGCTTGTTTCAATGAAGCTCTTAATGTCTCATCTGGTACTGTCCATGAAAGCAACTGTCCAGCTGAATCACCGCTTAGTAACTGCTTCAGGTCGCTCGTGAGATGGAGGGCGGTGACTGGTTGCTTATGGAATTTCAACACCTTGTGTAGAATCAACTTGTATTCTGGCACTTGATCACCCAAATTCAGCCCTCCTGTTCTGTTGCTACTACTTGTTTTGCTCTCAGCACTCACCGGATCAGTACAATGTATCATCCGCCATACTTTAACTGCTCCACTCTGATGACCAGTTACATACCAGCTTGTTTCAAGCCAGTCGGAAGATGTTGAGCCTGTTACTGATAATACCGAATCAGATGGTAACTGCGATGTGTTAGCCACAGCAAGGCAATCGCCATTGATGCTCCAAACCGCAAGGACAGTTCCAGCAGCAGTTACAATTTCCCCAGTAAGGTCGTTTATGTAGATTGCTGAAATGGGAACTGGGAAGTCAGGAAGCTGCCTCACAAAACTCAATGAACTGAGATCCCATATGATGACTGTACAGTCGTCTGACCCGCTTGCAATCATCATGTATGGTTGGCTTACACGTAGACATGTGACTTTAGCTGTGTGAGCACATAGGGCTTTCTCTAACCGTAATCGCCGTGAACCACGGGGACCATCCTTGCTTACTCTCCACACGCACACTAAACCATCCTCTGCTCCAGTGACCACAATGCGCCCATCGTGACTAACACCAGCACACTGGACCTGGTTGCTTTCATGGAGATTTTCATGGGTTGATAGCAGTTTGTCCTGATCATAGCTCATAAATCTCAAGCTCCTGTCTGGGAATCCCCATGTTATGTATTTGGTATAGCCTCTAGGTTTCAGGAAACAGTTGGCTCCGGCAACAAGAACCTTGTCGTGGAATGTAATGATCTGGCTTATAGAAGATGGGTATTTACGTGTTTCATGAGGAACTAGATGCATCGAGTGTTTCAGAGGGTGGAGAGGAATTTTTCTGTCTGTTCTTCTTTTGACATGAGCTTTCGGGAATAGTTGCTTAGGAGTTTGCCCAAAATGATTAATCTGCGCTAGTATGGAAGCTTTCATTGCGGGGTCGGTAACTGCATCAATATCAACATTCCCCTCGTATGTGTAATGATAGAAAACATTCACAGCTTCTTCTGCAGCCTGAGAATAAACATTCCAGAAAAGGAAAAGGAAGTAAATAACATAACAATACTTTGATACCTGCATTCTACTTGACTAGCGGCAAAGGGAAAAAATATTGTGTAATGTACCTTTCCTCTCTGTTTGTACCCAAAGATGAGATCTATCCAATGATGCAAATTCTCTGAGACATAATCTGACTCCAACGCTTCTCTGTGTTTGAGGATGAACTCACGAACACTACCTCTAGCCCATGGAGGTAAAAAGACATCACCAACCTGAAATTATGCAGGAAATATAAGTATATCAAGTCAACATGAAAGGAAAGTGGTAAATTCAAACACCACTAAAAGACCTTTAACTGGCACAAACCTTCTCTCCTGATTGTTTTTCACCCAAATCAAGGCTGAATCTATTTTCCAAGAACTCGGGCATGTAGAAGAATTCAGGAATTAGTTCTTTAACGTCTGAAGTATTTCCCTTTCCTGCTGCACTTAGCCAAGTATCTTTAATACTATTGAAGAGTCTATCAGCATGATCAAACTGACCGCCCTGGAGCTTCTGATTTTCAGCACTGAATGGTGGGAGGCGAATAAGGTAGAACAGAACAATTCCAGCACTTGAATAGTGAGAACCATAATGAAATTTTGGAACCTCGGGATCATCCCAGCTCTCATATCTGAAATCGAGCAGGAAAAAAAGAATGCATGATAAGCAAAGATTAGATAAAACTATGATATCATGAAACAGTAGCAAATTAACAAGAAAAAACTGATGTATGACGAAGACCACAAGGGAAACAGGCACTATACAAAGTTTAAATGCACATCACAAACCGTTTTCTAAATTCTTCTTCTCCTTCAGGTGTCTGGCAACCCATTGGTTTGTGAAGCTTTCGGAATGTTTTTGGATCTGAAAAATCAAGACTCTCGCTATCATAATCTGCTAGAACCCATGGAAATACAGGATACTGCGTGAGATCACTGTATCCACGTCCTGCTAAGGTATTGAGATGCATTAGGTATTGGAAATTGCTGATTTCTCCATTTTGCCATCTTTTCGAGAAAGACTTCGCCATTAATTTGAAAAGCCTGCCTCCCTCGTTACTTTCCTGTTTAGCTGATCCTGATATGGTTGTGTCGAGCCTAGGAAAAAAAATAAAAAAGAATAAATTACACTTTCGCAGATCAATGAAGACAGAAAATCTCATCTATAATAACTCCACATGAGTACTACGGCCAAGAAACAGAAGACCATTCAAGGATGCTAGTAAACAAACTAATGAAGAATAGAAACCTTAAACACTAGTCAAAGTAAGCTTTAAAAAGAGACCCACCCATGCTAACTCATGTGAGTAGATTGACAGATTTATTCATTTTACTAGAGAAAAATAAATGCCTATAAAATCTAAAAAAACAAACAAACGTATTGTGTTCAATCCAGTAGAGAGGAAAAAAAGAAATGAGATGAAAAGAACGATGGTACCGTACATGCTGTTCCTTGGAAGATTCATGGCAACCAGATTTTTGAAAACTTCTTCCCTCTCTTTCTTGTGGAACACGAGGAGATCATTACATCCATCCATGCTAAATATCTCAATAGCAACTGGACGCAGCTGGTAATCACGTTTCAAAATTTCATGAACATTATTAAGCTTCCACATACGCCAAGGATGTGGCAAGTTACCAGTCATGCACATTTTTTCTTTTCCCCAAGCACCACCACCATATGCCCATGCTCTTCCCCCTACTGCTCCTGTTTTCACTGTTGTAGTCCCTGATGTGCTAGACTTGGAATGGAAATCCGAGCTTCCAGAGACATCTTTTTTTACACCCAACGCTTGATCAATAACGGATAACTCATCTTCGCATTCCTTCTCACAAATACACCCATCTTCGTCAATGTAAAAGTTTTCTATCACATACAGACAGAATTCCCCTATTAAGAAGATTCCATCATGCTTGTCGAGATCAACAACTCTCTCACAGTTGTATCTGAACCTGATCTTTTCAAGATGCTCCAGATAAGGTCTAATCAAATACTCACCATCATCATTCAGTTCCTTCTCTGATTTTTCCTCTGGGCCATTAGTTTCATCCATTTTAGCAGAGGAGGAATGTCTTGGAGAGCCAGTCTCAGATTTCAAATGTGTGTTGTCTGTTATGGGCACAGAAGCTGTACTAGATTTTCCACCAAAATCAAGAGCAGAATGAAGACTTGCTTCGTTTGTACTACTAGCTCTATCATCATTCCATCCATTTCTGGCGGAAGCGACATCTTTAAAATCATCAGACTCTTTCAAAAACGACTCATCATAGAGTTCACTGAGTAGGAAAGCAGGCTCGGAATCTGTGTCAGAAATACCTGGTCCATCTTCATTTTTGACTTTGGGAAGCTCAATTTCTCCAAGTTCCAACTTTCCATCAAGAACATTCTGGATGCTATCAATTTTTAGCTTACATCGTTCAAGCTTTTTGCGCATTCTGTATGGACCTTCAATCGGACAGAGCTGCCATTCAGGATCTTCAGTCCCTTTGGATTTACGCATTGGGAATATCCCACGCTCATGCACAAGCTGCTGGAGATGAGTTTGCCACTCACTCTCAGCATGAAGTATCCAACCATATTTGTTTTGCCGAACTACTCTAAGCTCAGTAGACATGGCATCACGCAATACTTCTAGCGCATATCTTCGTTCATTCAACTGATCCCAATGTTTTAGGTCTAACTTTGACATATCTCGTGTTTTTCTCCCCATCTCTCTCTTCCGTCGACCTTCCATGCCTTTTATCCTGACACCGGGAAATTTTGCCGAGCCAGCTATGTACTGTACCCACATAATTGCAGCACATTGCTCCAGTACTTTGTTAATAATCTTATCAGAGCTTTCAAGCCACTTAAAGAATTCTGGTAGATTTCCAGTCAACAACTTATCAAAACCCCCGTGTAGAACATCAAAGTTTTGTCCTTGGTTTGGTTTAGTGACGAGCAAATCCTCAAGGGCAGATCTTCTGTGTACTAGCAAATATTTGACAATATCAAGTGACATGTTTTGCACACTCTTTCTCTGGTCAAGGAGCAGGGAGATTAAATTCACACACAAACAGCAATTCAAATCAGTATCAAGGTTGCTTGGGCAGAATATAATTCTCCTGTTTGCGACCAACAACTGCAAAACTGTTGAGATGTCAATCCCAGATTCATCAGTAGCTGGATTCGGAGATGGCCTCTTCTTAGATTCAACAAGCAAACCCAGTTGGGATAGTAGATCCTCCTCTCCGATAGTTATCAAAAATGATGGCAGGAAACAATATAATACCATTCTATTTGTGTTTTTCAAGATTGAGTGCACATAAGCATCAAGTTGTCGCGTTGCTCTTCCAAGCGATAAAAGACCTTTCCCTGAAGGAGTGACTTCTTCAACCCTACCATCTTTGTTAGCTAATTGGAGCATTGATAACAAGAACTCTAGAGCCCTAAGAACACCAGTGGGTTGAGAAAATGCACCCATATAAACACGATCCACTATCATCCAGCAAAATGCATCCAAATTCACTGACCATTTGGCCTTGTCCAGTTTTTTCTCGACCTCTTCATCATCACGCAAGAGACGCCTTTCAAGATAGTTCATGACCCTGCTAAGGCATAAACCTTGAAAGACCAGCACACTTTCAGGATCAACATAGAAAGGAATCATTTCCATTATGCTTTCCAGAATCGGTACTGCTTTAATCTGTTCAGTCACTAAGTCAGCAAGTGCCTCTGCCATAAAATCTAACACGGCACTCGCTCCAGCAGAACAAGGCCCGCCACCATACCCAGTTTCATCTGTTTCAAGGAGAAGTTTTGGGCTAACTGTGAAGAATGCATTGGCAGCCGAAGATCCTTGGGAGCCTGACTTTCGCTCTGAAGATGCATCAACTTCATTAACAGAGACATACGATTCAAGGGAAGGAGAACCACCGAAGGTAGAACTGTTAGATTCGTTATAGTTAGAGCCTAGCCAGGATGCAAGTGCAACAACCGGAGATGGTGATGGAGTGAATGAGACTTTGAGACTTGATTTTTCAGATAAAAGGGGAGACTCGATCATAGGGAAAGATGCAGAGCTCTGAGAATCTGTTGCCTGAACTTGAAGTGGATTACCTTTAAAATCTTGAAAGTCCCTTTCACTGGAAGCTGAAGGGCCGACATGATGATCATCTTGTTTCTTAACATCTTCAACATCTTGTAATGATTTACTTGAGTCCTGTGTTGGTGGTGTAAGAATGTTCTCCATCTTATCATTAACCACATAATTTGCAGGTAAAGACATGTCTTCGGAACTAAGACTGACCTGCCCTTGAGGGAAGCTTCCAGCACTGATGGAGGTTTTAGTGGACTGATCCTGATCATGAGGCAAGCTTCCTTGTGAGCCGCTATCGTCGACATCATTTATATGCTTCTCTTCCGCCTTCACAGAGAGCTGTTTCGCCATCTTCACAGCATAGGCAGCCCTACAGCACAAAATAGCCTTTAGGCGCAAGTTATGCAAATAAACAACTTGCAGGTCACACTAAATCCAACATCATGAAAATATCCTGGTTTTATCTAAGACCCTTTGACATTGAACACGACATGATAACTAAAACAAACTACTGTTCACATAGTCTATGCAACGAAAGATAAAATCTATGCAGAAAAATATATATTTGTTTTCAAGAACCTAAAAAATCATCAATATTTACTAGGTGGTGAAAACATATATCAGTAGGTCTGTAATGCCAACCTGACACATGAGAAGTAAAGATCAGCACAATTTTCAACAAATTCTGCACGTCTGCAAGCAGTAGAAAATTGAGGGCACATCTTTGCAAGGTCAACCATGAAACGGAGAACAGACGTCGCAGCAGCAGGAGCTGATGCTTCGCCACCCATCAAACGTGCCGCATATGTTTTGTGCATCAAAGCTTCCCCTTGAAGCTCCCCAGTCATTTCTGCCCCCTCTATAAGCTCTGCGACAAGACTAGCACTCACCTGAGAAAGATTTCCAGACTGGTGGGCGAGCATTGATTGCATGATCAACCTGTCATAAGTAGATTTAGCCATTGCCACCACTGAATCCAACAGATCTATGAACTTTAACTCCACATGGCTTCCATCATTTGGCACTAGAGCATGAAAGTCTAACATTCGAACCTCCGGTAGTCTTGGATAAACAGGTTTCCCAAAGATCAAGCAGAACAATATGTAATATATGTCTGGGGAATCATAAAAGTTTTGAAGTACCCGCATCAGCCCCTGATAACCTCCACTTGTTCGAAATTTAAGGGAAAAGTTAGGAGAAGAAGCAAGACAGACACCGAGAAGGGTCATGATCCACCTCATACTAGTAGGATGCACAGCTTCATCGAGGAAGTATGTTATTAATTTTGACGAGACTATCTTATGCCACAGCTCTAGAAGTTCCTCTGCTTTAATGGTTACCTGAAGATCAATGAGCATTTCCAAAAGCATATTTCTCACAATTACATGCTTTCCCATCGACTCGCGCAATAATGAGCTTCGTGACTTCACTTCAGGTGGATTAAATGTCATAATCACAAACCTAACGACATTTTCAAGCTCAGAAGTCAGGAATCCGTCTTCTAAGATGCATCCAAGCAGAACGACTAATTTTTCTAGGACCGGAACTTCCACATCACCTCTCTGAAGTGTCACTAACAAATGTTCCACCAGATTGATTCTGCGCAGAATTGTAAGATTGTGATTCCTGTACCAATGCATTGAAACCAAATTTTCCAGGAAACCAAGTAAAGCAATCTGGATGGAAACAGGGGATGTTACCCAAAGGGTCCAGTCCAGAAGGACATGTTCAACCATATCCGCGTTGGATAAGACAATGCAGTTTGAAGTTTCAGCAGGGATATCTGTTTCTAGCTCAGAGAGATGGCTAAATGAATCCTTGGGAACAGAAAAGTCATCCATATCCCCATGAGACCCAACTGAGGAACTATCGTACCGGAACCTCGAAAGACTAAGATCCTCGTAGCTGTTTTCAAATATAGTCTCCGTAGGTGGCATACTAATATTACTCTGACCATTCTCCAACTTTTTTGGCTCTGAAAACAAAGCTTCGCATGCTGCAATTTGAAAAAATATCTCCAAAGACTGCATATCAAACAGGGTCATTTTGGGACGCAAAAACAGAGCTAGTAAATGATATCCCCTGATGGTTTGCATATCCTTCACATTTTGAGGGTTTTGATGAAGCGCACATGCAAGCAATGAAAGAGCCATATGTAGCATATCTCTAGATTCGGCAGCCTCAACAAGCGCGAGTACAACAGTCATTCCTCCCACAGGTCGGATAGTATCACCAATCACACTTTGTCTGCAGATAGATACATTTCCCACCAGACGCCCAAAACGTGGTATTCCTGAACCATTTGAAAAAGAAGAATGAATCAAATTATGAAATCGATTCAGATGAATATGTACAAAATGAAGAAGAGTTTTTAAGACTACTATATACCTCCAATTGGAGAAGCAGCAGCAGACAATGGGTCAACCAGATTGAGGAGGGAAAAATTTCCAGACGCACGGATGAACTCCGAGCATGTTCCATCAAATGCAAAAATAAGTTTCTTGCCAGGTAACTGAAAGGCAAGATTTCCCAACCTCTCAAGATCCCAGACAATTCCACTGCCATCTGCCTTGGACTCTCCTTGTCTATTGCTTCCATCAAACTTTTGTCCATTCGACGATGAATTCATGTCAGTGTCTAATGAGTCCAGGATAGCCATGCTGCCCCCACCACAAGCCTGATTAGGCACAAAGCGTAAGAGGTCTGCATCCTGGAAAAGACCTTTGTACCCCCTACCAAGAATGTACATGAAACCAATGCAACCTGATGTGAGCACCTCCTCAAAAAGATAACATGAGCGTGTTTTCCATGTCAGATCGCTAATTCTGGCACAAGTAGCCGGAGTTCCAACTGTTACTTGCAAAGATTTTCCAACAGGCGAAGGAGAGTACCCCAATTTTCCCGTGTGCCTTAGTTTTCCATCAAGATAGACATATGCAACACTAGCTTGGAAGAGTCCGGCAAGAGCATTCGGTTTACTATGAACAACAGCAAGGTGATGCCACCTGCCCTCCTCAATCTCCAATCCAGAAAACGACAAAGAATGTGAATTGCTAGTGGCAAGGGTCAGAATACCATCCTCCTGAAAGTAAAGTTCTGCATAGAATGGACTTTCATTGCTTACAGCACCAACAGAAAACATCCGGAAAATGTTCTGTTCGTGTTGTTGCGCACTTGTAATGCGCGTCTTTGATGAACCGCCAACTTTGGAGGCTTCTGATTCTTTTCCTTGGGTAGTTAAAAAATTACGAAACTGGAACCAACAAACAAATGAATAACCAGCAGCAGGAGGCCAAGATCTTTCTCCCAGGGACACCTGAACAGAAGCATGCCCAGTTTTGCTCATATCCAATTCTACAAAAGGAGCCAGAGATAGATGTTCCAAGGCTGTGTCTTCCATGAGAATTAGTTTTTCCATCATGCCAACTATTGCATGACCTGAATTCATAATCCTCATTTGCAAAACATATCTAAACAGCATTCGGAGCTCAGATGGGGACAATCTACACACACAAAAAAACTATATACTAAGAAAACAGATAGTAAAATGAAAGCAGTAACGTTGGAAATCTATTTTAAATTTTTAGTAATAATGCAGGACATTCTTTACCTGTACGCTCCAAGAATTTCCACAATCTTCAAAGCATAAGAAAGAAATGGAGATGAACCCGCAAGAAAGGGGTAAATGATCTCCAACAAGAGTTCCACGCAACCTGTTCAATTACAATTCATGACGAGATAGAGATGGGTTGAGAGAGAAAAACGAAAAACCAAAAGCGATAGGGATCATAAAATTGATTGAAGAATGGACTGGTCTTACCAATTGATGTGAGGTTTTCCTGATTGAATGGACTGGCACGTGCAAGACTTTCCAGAAGTTTCAAAAATTCTAGCTGCATTTTTGGACTAAAAAGCAACAATGAACGGATCAGAACTCTGACAGCACCTGCATTGTAAATTCTCTCCTTGTCAGGATTGAACTGGCCCGATGGGGTTGTTACAATAAAAGTTGCGTTTTCACTTTCTGGTATAGTAGCAAGGGCCGTTGACTCTGATGTTAAAAATGGGGGAAGCACCACTTCAAGTGCAAGTTCTAACAACAGCTGTATAACCTGCCTTTCCAACTCAACACACAGCAATCCAGACTCAGCCAAAAGCTCATAAAATGTCTGAGACGTTATAACAGCATGCAGTTTCATCCTATTAACAGCATTCTCACAGACTGCAGCTGTCATAAGGCGAAATAGATATTTAAACAATTTGATGTAAACCGTCAAATCAGACTCATCCATGTGCTCTCTATTCCCTTGAAAAGTATGAAGGGTCGTCAATAAAAGAGAGAAACCAGTGGCTTCGCCGAAGACTCTTTGGGCAGAGCCATTAACACCAACAATACGCCATAGAGCACCCATTGTATCACATTTGGCATCATCATGAAGCTTGTATTGATGGCCAGAAATACCAGTGACCATTCCACTCTTCAACAAATCGACAACAGCTCCTAATTCGTCATGATGGACCTAGTTGGAGAGTAATTGCAAGAAAAGTAAATTAAGGATGTTTGCCAATTATGCAAAATAAATACCTATGATGGCATCGATGTAATCAAACACATCAAATTGCAGTAAAAATGACAGTGGAGTAGTTGATCCAAGAAAAAGAAGATACCTGTTTAGTGTCTTCTGTGATTAGACATGATAAGATCCTCAAAACGCCAGTTCGATGGGCATCAGATATCAAGAAAGGAAGAATAATCGCCACGCCATTGGCCGCACGAAAAGATGACTGATTAGCCTCAGCTTTCTTTAACAAAGAGATCAAACAATCCCAACCAACAGTAATAGTGTTGTCAACTTCAAATACAGGTAACTTTCCTGACCCAGATTCCATCAACTTTGGTGATGAAATAATGGCATCTTTAGTATCTAAGTGCTTTTTGAAGCTACCTGAGCTAGGCTTCCGATCTGAATGATTAGAGACCCCACTATACTGATCTGGACCGATAAGAAGCTTGTGCTGCTTCAAATCATCCTGTAAGACTTCCAAAACACCAACTTCACGTAGGACTTTCTTATATTGTTGATCAAAAGATATGAGCTTCACAAAGAAAGAAAGTATGGTGTGCTTCAACTGAGATGTAATTGGCTGTTGCAATAAGCAACAAAGTGACAACAATTCTTGCTCTGGAACACAATTCACAACTGTAACAGCATACTCAAGAATTTTGAGAATTATATCTTGCAGCGAGGAAGGAAAACCAGCCATATTGAGGACAAGCAATGGAACGGTTCTTAATTCCTGACACAATCTATAGTTTTCCACGTGGCTCGAGAATATCTTGAACATTCTATTCAATACTTCTGCCTGAAGATCCTTATTCTCTGCCTTCAGGAAGATATCTTGCAGCATTTGGACAGCTTCCAGGTCTTTAACTTTACCACTTCCCTGTTCCCATGTCTCATCATATATACTGTCAACAGATGAAGTTCGACTTCTGCTATGCCCAGTTGGCTTCATTTGGGATGAACGTGAGGCCCTCCCTACAGATGGCTCAGCTGGACCAGTCTGAGCCAGGGTGACGAGGACATCAAGCAATCTTGACAACGATGGAGCAAAGTTTTGTGAAGAAAAATCAGCATTTTCCCTACTGTTCGTATTTTCTCCATCAGGAAACACTTCAGAGCCATCTGAACCACTATCCTGATTAATAGATGAACGACTGGACACAAAAGTCGGATTTTTTGGCAAGGAAGACAGAATCAGGGCAAACTGAACAAGAAAGTGGTAACCGTGTGCATTACGTATGTCCTCCCTGAGCCTAACACCACCAGCCTCTACAGAGTCAAATTTGAAAAAGATTAGTAGCCAGCCATAATCAGAGCAGCTTTAGCTTACATGTCCATATATGTAATGTGACTACTGAATGTTCTACTCTCACGCAGCAATTTACCAGGTCTGTACGATAGTTCCACACATTCAAGTAACAAGTCCACAATGCCCATAGTGTAGGCTGAGTCACCACAACTCGGATCAAAATCTTTGACAGCCATCAAGAGCACCTTTATCTGCACAAGAACTCAAAAAATTAAGAATTTATTTTTAATGCCTTATTGCACTTGTCACTTTGTACCACTATACTTCTGATGAAACTAAAATATAAGCAAACATTTAATTATAATTTGCTTTTATCCTGAAATCAACATAAGTTTCCTGATAACCAAGTTCTTTACCACAGAAATCTCACATAGTTCAACATTAGCAACAAAGAATAAACTATACCCAGGGTCCTCTTAAAAGTATGCATGAGAATCAATATACTACACTCAGGTAGTCTGCATAATTCACTGGCGTACCAGATGGTGCTTGCGTATGTATCTTGCTGTGCTCCCATTGTCATTGATTAGTAGAAGTCCAAGGATCTGAAAGAGACACGAAAGGGTGTCAAATGAAACTATAAGCATCAGATTATTCAATCCAGTTTAATTGTCCATCTAGAAAGCCGTTCACGGAAGTTTTCCATTTCATAGCACGATGTTCTAAAATAGATGTGTGAAAAATACCTGCATTGCATGTCTGTGAAGCTGTATGTTATGGAGGGGAACTAGACCTTCTTTATACTGAGAAAAAACTGTAACGGAGCCATTGGCAACCATATTGAAAAGCGACTCAAGAGAGTCATCTTCAATCAAACTCTGAGCAGCAGAAGGATTGCTTGCTAATGCTTTCATGATATGGACAACACTACCCTCCACCTACAAAGTATTTGTGTATTTATTAAACTGATAAAGCATTTGTGTAGTATAAACTTGGTTGTCAATATTAAGCTCAAAACAATGACGAATAACATATCTAATCGTATAATGATTTGGAAAAAAAAAAATTGAAACAGAACCTCAAGTCGTCTAGTTTGGAGAACCCTGTATCCAGCATCTTTTTCTGCTGATACCTCTTCTAAATCAGCAGTTATTTTACTTCTGCTTAGTTCATCATATGCTAGAAGTGCACTGAGAACGTGTATTAGACAACAGAATATCCCAGAATCCAGTAGTGATTGTTTGTCGATAGGCTGAAAAGAACACATAAGAGGCAACACAATATATAAGGCATAAAACCATGAAAGAGTAAGCATCCTGGACAATGAGAAATTGGGCTTTGCAAGATGTTATGGAGTGGCTAAATTAAAAGACACAGGAAAAAGTCGAAAAGGTACCCCAGATACAAGTACTTCAACAGCAGTTAAGAGGTTTGCACCAGGACTAAATCCCTCCTGTAGGAAGAAATCATGGATTAAATATAGAGAAGAGAGGGTGACATGTCAAGATGCACACTCAGAAAGAAAAGGCAAACCTTGGTGACATCTGAAAAGAACCTTAATACTTTCTCTACATCCAGTGACCTTGTCTTGCTGCCGATCTTCAACTTTTCAATATCTGTCACAAATGCTCTCCCAATGACAAAAGAGAATATATGTGTTTCTACTAACCTGCAATTAAAATAAATTTCTCAATATTGGTAATTATACCATATCTGACCTACAAGCATAGAATATGAGGTAAGGAAGATGACTAGCTAGACAGGGGAAGAAGACACTCGGAAACAACAAACCCCAATTCAACGTATATCCAACCAAAAAGGGAAAAAGGGTTAGGAACAGCTTACATAGTAACTAACTGATCTACATTAGCGTGCCGCTTCACTAATCTACAAAATATATCCACGGTCAGATTCAAGGCGGCCTCCTTCTCCTGCATTAATATGAACGATTAGCACTCATAAAATGGTAGTCTTTTGTAAGCCTATCCAGTATAGAAAATACAAGAAGAGATATTGTTCCAAGAATAAAGGTAAGACGTTCCAAAAAATAACTAACGTGTGTACAAAAGTATGGATTATCAAAGTAAGTACCTTTTCAGAGCTTGATGAACGGAACTCTTCCCATAATCTCTTGAAGTCCAGCTCCAACTCATGGTAATCTCTGCTTTCAAGAGGAGTAAAGAGAAGAGAGGATCAACAGTTGTTTAAAAGCAACAGCGATCAGTCAAAAAAATTACAGAATCCAATTGAAAAGTGTTGCAGCTGACAGCTTCTAAGACTATATTTTTGTTTCAATTAAGTAGCAGCAGCCTTTGACTCTCATTTATCAATCTTCCACAGCATCCTATCACAAAAATCTAGCACCACAAATGTTGCAATAAAGCATTCTAAAAGAATGCTTAGTAGATGTCGATCACTTATAAAGCAATCTAAAAGAGAAACAATCAAAACTATGGTCCCAAAACAAACATAAAAGCAAAGGTATAACTAGCAACAATGCGCAACATCGGAAACCACAAGCAGATCAAGCAAAAGAAGAAGAGAAAAGAAGAAAACCTTGAAGGAGATAAGTTGAAGTGATGAAGAGGAGAGGAGTCGTAAGTAAAAGGAGGAGAGGAAGAAGACGGCTGAGCAGTTAGGTCAACGGCAAAGGGGTCGGCGTCAGAGGATTGAGCTAATCCAACCTTCTCCTTGATGTCCTTAAGCAATGTTGCCCATTTCATCGTTGTCCTTTTCGATCCCAGAAACTTTCATCCGATGACGACGACGACCTCACCAGACCAGACCAGACCCTGACTCGGTCTTCAAACACGACCCTCCCAGATCCGAGTCGTCGATCAGATATAAAATCAACCCTAAAATGCGATCAACCCAAAACTCCCATTCCTTCACCAGAAGGAAACAAAACACACACACAATCCTTAAATTGAGGAATTCAAATTAAAGAAAGAACCCAAAAAAGAAAAAAGAGTCTTTTTTTAGATCAAATTGATTGAGCTGATACAATGTGACGAATTAGGGTTTCGTAGGAAGAAGAAAGATCTAAGATCCAAAATTTTAAAATCGTGAACCCCTTACCCTCCCAAAACACTTCAAAAAATCCCTTTTTTCTTCCACGAGAACGAGCAAAATCCAGTTTTGACAAAAAGGGAAGAAAAGGAGCTTAGCGGAAAAACGCGATTTTGTTTTTGTTTTTATTTCTTAATTTAATTTTAAATTAAACAGATTTAAATCAAATCTCCTTCTCTCTTTTTTTCTTCCTTGTTTCTTTTTTCTTTGTTCTGGTGTTGTTGTTGACGGCGTCTCTCTCCGCGCCTTGTTTCTCGCTCAAGTCGTCTCACTTTCTCTCTCTAAAACACATACTGTTTGTTTCTCCTTCCTTATTATTTCCAGTTTTATTACTTTATTAACCCTTGAAGTTTTGTTTTTATACTATTTTATACCCACTATAATATATTCATTACTATTTTGACCCCAAAATTAGTCTTGCATTACAAACCCCACAACCAAAACAATGGCGCAGACAAGGTATACGGTATATAAAATTATAAACTAGGGACACTTGAAAACCTTTGACATTTCGTTCGTGAAAGTAACAAAGGTTGACTAGTTCTTCTTCTATCATTTTATATAATTGTTTGAGTTAGTTTATATACAAATGGTCAAATAAGGATGTTTTAGAGATACATATTGGGATATTTTGTTTGTTTTATTTTTAATAAAATAAATTAAACCAACTCCATATGGATAGGAATAAAAAAACATTACTACTTTTGGATTTCTACAATAAGTCTCATACTTAAAAACTAAAAGTTAATTTTCTTAGTTTTAACTTTTTAGCCTATACATAGTATATTTACTTCATGCCAAAATAATAACTAATTTTATTTAACATACAGTTTAGGTTCTTTTTGTAATACCAGAGGCAACACAACATAAGAAGAATTTGTAAACCATATTTGTCAAAAGTTATTATCTAGTAGTGGGGACAATATCAACAGAAAATAGAAAATTAACGGCAATATGGATCTGGATGAAGATTTAAAAACAAACGAGACCTAAATTATAATTATTAAGAAAAACAAGGGCCAATGAGAGGTCAAACACCAACATAGTTTCTAGGTTCACGTCTACAATCGCAAGTAGAGCCCACGGGACGAGAATGCCACGTGTTCGTATAGGTTTGCTGAACGATTGCGAGAGACGTGATCCCCTCTTTGGAAACTTTAAACACTTTTAGGACCAAAACTTTAAACACTTTTAAAAATAATATTGAAAAAAAAAAATCTATATATGAATTTCTTAAGAAAATATAACGTATGTCATTGTGAGCAAATTGTGGGGTTAGATAGATAAAATCAAAATGCAGAGGTCACTCATATATATTAAACAAACAATAAAACTTAGTAGTGGTGGTAAATAGTCATCAACCAAAATTAGAAAATTTGGTGACAAAGAGACCATATATTTTCATAAAAATAAAAGATAGAACTTGGTCCAAATTATGCTTCGAAAAACAAATTTCCAACAATTATTGTAGTATTTCATTTGTCTTATTCCTGTCACATCTAAACACCAAAATTTGTATGTGACGATTATAATCATTTTCGAGGACAGGAAAAAAAAACAATAGCCGACAAAGTTACGGTCGGAAATTTTATATTTAATTACCTCACTTGCATAGTTGCATAAATCCTTCAGAGTTAGGACTAAATTCCAATATTAATTAGTGACAATGGACCTTTAAAGGGTAAAAGTCTGAACCATGTTCTGTTTTTGTGAAAGCCCACTTTTGAGTAATTCTCTCACAAATTAGGCCCACATAAGCCCAATATGTAATGAGACAATAACACAAGTTAGATGAACTAGAAATGTGTCATCAACACCTCAAAGGCTCAACAAACATATGATTTTTTTTGCATTTATTGAGATACTTCTTCAAACATTATTGCACTAATTTTTCATAAATATGCACATTTCATTGAAGTTATAGTAAATATTAATTTCTTTTATATTAATTTATTATCTTAAAAATGTTTAATACTTATCGCATTATAATTAATATTAGATATATTTAAACATGTGTCACACTAATGTCAAACGCATCTACATAGATTAAATTTATTTGTTACATATGTTAAGATATTTAATATCACACACCTCAAACATTATTACACTAACAGTAGTTTACCCATAATGACAAAAAAAAAAAAAAGGAAAGGAAAAAAAAAGTATAAATACGGAGAGAGCTAAATTTGTATGGTTAGAATCTTTAGGAAAAACTTGTCGCTGCAAATTCCAATACAACATAAAAGCAATGATGGAAGTTTATACTATTGTCGTGTTAGCCACCGTTAGTTTGGTTGTTATCGTTGGTACTGTATTTTGTTGTAGCCTCTGTCTCATGACGACGGAGGATAATTAAACTCGAATAGTCACTACCGGTTGCTTTCGTGATTTTCCAGCGGCTACGGCTATCTCCTCCGACGATCAAGGACTCAACGTGGTCGTCACAGCAATGATTGTCGTGGTCATGGCGAAGAATGCGCTGGGGAACGTGGAAGATGACCATTCTGCTTAGATTATGATGCTATAACTGAATTAGTTCCTTAATAATTTGTTTATACACCTATTGGACTTTCTAATTGCTAAAAAGTGATGATGGTCCTCAGATTTTTATAAAATACACTTTCTTTCAAGGAAAAAATCAATAGCAATTAAAACAAGATATAAATTTGTTTTTTAAAACACACTTTTTCTTGAAACACGTCTAAATAATAAATATATAACAAAATACATTAAAATTGCACTTTTTAGCATATCTTAAGATTTTAAATCACACACCTCAAACATTATTGCACTAAATAACCCAAAACTAAATAAAAATGAAAGGAAAAAAAATATATATATATATAGAGAAGGTAAATTTTTATGGTAAATAAATCCTTTTTAACAAGTTCTCTCAACACAACGTAGAAGCAATAATGGAGGATTTTGTTACTGAGATCTTGACAGTCCTCTTTATTTCGATTTTTATCGGTGGTACGATATGTTGTTGCATCTGTCTACATGAGAACGAGAAGAAACAAACAGTCACTACTAGTATACTAGCAATGACGTGAGAAGAAGTATGGCTTAGTGATTTTTCCAGCAGCGGCTATCTCCTCCGGGGATCACTGCGGTCATAACGACGGTCATCACGGTTGTCATCACGGCGGTGGTTGTGGTGGACATGGCGGAGGATGTGATGGAGGATGCGGAGGATAACAATTCTGCTTAGATTATGATGCTATAGTTTAGGTCCGTAAATAAAATCTAAATTATAGTTATTTATTCTACTATGATTTTAATTATAACTGGTTATTGCGCTCTACAAAAGATTACATACCTAACTCTTCCATATATTTCACGATTCTTCTATGAGAAAGAAAGGAATTCTTGAGTATCCATGAAAAAACTTGTCGAGCCGGTTTAGTTTAGGTCCTTTGGAGTCATCTAGAGACATTTCGAGCCGGTTTACTTTACAGATTACGGTTAACAACAACTTAACGTATTCATCTTCACACGCCACGTGTCAAAACCTGGTGCCTTCAAGAACGTTCTACTTTACTCAACTGCTTTTATAACTTGAAAAATCCTAATTTTCTCTCCACCCTCAAATCTCAAACTTTCTCGCATTTTCTCGGGAAAATCGTAACAAACAAACAAAAAATTCTCAGCCGGCGAAATCAAATTCCGGTAGTAGTTAATTCATCGATCGTCACCTTCTCCTACTCTCAAGATTCGAACATTCCCGCGTTTTTTTTTTTCCATTCGTTGATCAGAATCCATTGTTTTCAGAGAGTTTCGATTACAGTTTTACAGAATGTATAAGTGGAATCTTCCTTACCGGAAAGATGACGTGGAGACTGGCGGTGGTAGCGGTGAGAGATCTCTGTATCCGACTATGCTTGAGAGCCCCGAACTCCGATGGGGTTTCATCAGAAAGGTATATTCCATAATCGCATTCCAGCTTTTAGCAACCATCGCCGTCGCCGCCACGGTGGTATTCGTTCGTCCCATTGCCGTGTTCTTCGCTACCACTAGTGCCGGTCTTGCTCTCTGGATTGTCTTAATCATCACGCCTCTTATAGGTAACCAATGATCAAATTTGTTAAATTCATCATTCGATGGTTATGTGATTAGGGTTTTGGTTGAATCTGTTATTTTTTTGTTATTGCAGTAATGTGTCCTTTGTACTATTACCACCAGAAACATCCGGTGAATTACCTGCTTTTAGGGATTTTCACGGTGGCTTTAGCTTTTGCCGTTGGATTAACATGTGCTTTCACCAGTGGTAAGACTTTCCTTGTGAAATAAGTTCTCTTTATTCGTTTCTTGCCTCTCAAGGGACTTATTAATTACTTGACATCACACGCTTAAGATTTATTTTAAATTATCCTGTAAGATCTCCAACACATTTGAGCTGGTTTTGACTTTCCTCGTACTCAATAACAACTGGTTCATTGATAGGTTAATGTTCCATGGTTGCTGCATAGAAACATGGATTTGTGTTTAATCCACCTTTAGAAACCATAGATTTTTGGGATTATAAAGTTATTCATTAGAATTTGGAACTTTGTTGTTGGAACAGGGAAAGTGATTCTTGAGGCAGCGATTTTAACAACAGTAGTGGTGCTTTCCTTAACCTTCTACACCTTTTGGGCAGCAAAGAAAGGATATGACTTCAATTTCCTCGGTCCATTCTTGTTTGGTGCTCTCATCGTTCTCATGGTCTTTGCCCTTATTCAGGTAAACACAGTGTCTTGTCCCTTACAATTGGTTGTTTTGGTTTAACATTCTAAATTTTTGTTGAAAACTGAGCCTCATCGTGGGTTTTTGGGTTGTGTTTGGTTTTTTGCAGATTTTCTTCCCGCTGGGTCGGATCTCAGTGATGATCTATGGATGTTTGGCTGCGATAATATTCTGCGGGTACATAGTTTACGATACAGACAATCTCATCAAACGTTACAGTTACGATGAGTACATATGGGCAGCAGTTTCGCTCTACTTAGATATTATCAACCTCTTCTTGGCTCTCCTTACCATTTTCAGAGCTGCCGAATGAAGCTTCTTTACTCCTTTTAAGTCTCGACCAGTGTTATTATCATGTCCTTAAAATGTGTATATCTCTAATATTGTTTGTTAACAAAACTCATTTTCTTTATAGTATTCTCATTTACAAAACATAACCTGGCATTGTAACTTTTAAAGTAATCGAGTAGTATTAATTGAAACTTGCGCTTGGAGACTAGATTCTGTTGTTTAAACACACCAGTAAATTATTTAGCAAAAGTGTGTTTCTCTTTTATATCAAACTTCATTAACAGATATTAGCAAAAGTGTGTTTCTCTTTCATATCAAACTTCAATTCGTTTCCATTCACATGAACATTATTTAGCTTACTTGCAACAACAGTTCTAACTATCAAGGAGATGGAGGCGGTTGCACGCACCCACAAAACGCAAACCGCTTTTTTATCCTCTTTCGTCGCTCACCTCTCACTCCGCTATATATATAATCCCGAAGAAGAATCCTCGTTTTGCTATCCGATATCTTTGCTTTTGCTCGATCCTCTCTATCTCCTTCCAATTTTAGTAACAGAAACTGTAATCTCTGTATCTCCAACTGTAACCTACCAATCTTCTCTGATCCTCTTCTCGCCTGTTCTGATATCCTCCTCCTTCTGCTACTCTCATTCTCATCAAGATCCATCGACGATTTGCTTCCATCTGATCTCTCAAATCCGTTTTGGACTTTCGTCACCAGTTTCCTGTTGATGCTTAATAGTTTCTCTAATGCTTCTTCAGCTTCATTGATCTGTCCCTTGATCGTCTCGTACTCGTTTTCTTTTCCTTTCTCGTCTTTCTCCTCTGTCTCCACTTTGCTTTTCAAATCTTCAACGGCGACATGAAGATTTGCGAGCTTCTGTAAATCTGAATCAAGTCTCTCGAGAACTTTCCTCTTGTTTGCATCTTTGTTTGGATCCGTGAATCTATCGGAGATCTCTAGTTTGTCCACAACCAATGACTCTTCAGACAAGGACTTCCCTTTCGGAGGGTTTTGTGACTTCACCTCTAAACTGTGACCATCTTCTATCTTCAAAATGTCTCTTGTACTTATCCCATATGATGAGCAATCAGAAACCTGATCAAGTACGATATCTTTTGTGATCATCTCGGTTTCCTCGGAGTAGATTTCATGGTTCTGTTTCCGCAGGCTTCCACTTCTCCTTCTGCTTCTTCGGGCAGAGGAAGTTTTTAGTTCTTCAATTGCAAGCTTTTTGGTTACTGCCTCCTCAATAGCTTTGATTCTCAAACGCAATTCTTGTATCTCTAAGATGCCATCGTTGTTATCCACCAATGAAGCAGTGTCCTGGTAAGAGAATACCCACAAAAGATTTGTCATATCCAACAAGAAAAACTTGAAATTAACAAAGCAACAGATGCAACATTGGTTCAACAGAAAAATGTCAGATCAAGGGTAAATCTGTCTAAAACTTCATTACGACCAACTAAAAAGAATTTGATTATTAGAAGCAGAGTTTGCTAAGATAACTTACTGTGGCTGGCTCATTCTCAAATTCGTGAGGCATGGCATGTTTTTCCAGAGATTGTATGCTTTCCTTCAACAAGAAAATAGCTTGGGCGTATTTGCACATAAGATCGTTTTGTCCTTTGTTCGCATCCTCTAAGTTGTTCACTCTTCCTTTAAGCTGCTCAATCTCCCTGTCTTTTAATGCGCTTCTGCTTTCAAGGTTCTTACAGGCTTCGGCCAGCTCATGGGTCAACCCTTCAAGCAATATTTCATGAACAGCCGAAATCTGCAACTCTCCAAACAATGTAGCAGATTGAGACTCCCATAGTTCAATCTCATTCCTTTCTGTAAAAAGCTCCTGGTTCAGATTTTCCTTCTCCACTTTGATTTCTTCGAGTTCCATGAGTAAGTTCATCAAGTCAGCTTCCAATTTCAGATTAGCTTCATTCAAATGACTATTCTTCTTGACCTGCTCATCGTAATCTCCACGGAGTCTCAAGACCTGCTTATCCTTATCCTCTTCTATCGCTTTAGCTTCCTTGTATCTACATTCTAAACCCTCCACTGCCTTAGATAATTCATATTTTTCATTTTGCATGATGGAGATCATTAGCATTGCTTCTAAAAGCTCTTTCTCCTTCTGATCCAACTGATCCTTCACATTAGCTATTTCATGTTCCAAATGAACATTGGCTGATTTGGCAGAGAGTAGTTCGGCATTCGATTTCTCTAGCACACCTTGAAGCTGAAAGTTCGCAATGTCTGCAGATTTTAACTTATCACCAACCTCCCTTACCTCTTCCTCAAGCTTACACTTGACAATACTGAGTCTGTCTAGATCCTCGTTTAGTTTCATTGCTCCTGAAAGTTTTTCCAAGACGACATCCTCCAATAGAATGATGAGATTGCTTTGATATATAGTCTCCGACAAAAGCAAAGAGATATCCTCTTCTAGTTTACATTTCTCCTCCTCCAACTGCAATGTCGACTTTGTCAAGTATGCTTTCTCATCCAACGTTTTGTAATTATCTCCCTGCAAAATGGTGTAGTCATCTCGTAACTGCAACACCTGCCTGTGCAAATCCTCAATTTCCACCATCAAAACTTTTTCTCTGTTGACTCCTTGATTAACTTTTGTGGTCAATTCTCCGTTCACGAAGATAAGTTTCTGGGTCTCATCCCGCGAAAACGAGAGCTGCTGACACTGAGATTCAAGTTCTTCCTCAAGGATTTTCTTCTCTGTTTCGATACCTACAGCTTCTGATTTAAGTTGCCGAAGAAATTCAATAAGGACGAGGTTCTCAATGGCAGAGTGCTGGCTTTCATCCCGAATCCTCAAAAGCATAGTTTGCATGTCATCAAGTCTATTCAATATATCATGCATATTTTTCTGGTCTCGCGAGTTCTCATCACCGGAACCTATACCTGGAATTATATCAAGCTTCTTCAATACCTGGTAGATCCCCGTTCTCAGTATTTTAATGCAGTTAATCGAGGAGTCAATCTGCACTTGTTTCCCAATATTTTCCTCTTTCAGTTCAGAAACTAGCTTCTCTAACAGTTTAGAAGCCTCTTTGATATTCTGATTCTCAGCAATCAAAGAGGAACTCTTCTCAAGCCAGTCCTGCAAACATTTCTGCAGAACAATAATCTCAATGTGAGCATCATGAGCTCGATCCAGTTCCACTTGATATTCTCTCTCCCGGCATTGATTTTCATCTTGAAGGTGATGGATCGTTGATTCCATGCCATTCATCCGACTCTCAGAAAATTGCACAAAACTAGCATACTCACAGTCCTTGGCATTTAAAGACACTCCCAACTCTTCAATTTTCTGAAGAGAAGACTCCCTCTCGGTCGCTAATTCCAAAACTTTCACTTTTACTTCTGCATGTTCTTTCTCCAGATCTTCAATTCTTTTTCTCATTGTATCAATATGAGAGAGTAAGCTTTCTCTTTCACTAGTTAAAGTGGACTTGTCATCATTCAGCAGGTGGCATGATTCTTCTAGGCTTTTCAATTTCGACTTGAGTTCTTCGAGTTCTGCATTGGCATTAAAAAGAGAATTCTCCAGTACCATGTTTTCCTCAGAGAGTTTCTTGCTGTTTTCTGTAGCACTCTGCAGACGGGAAATCAACATGTCCTTCTCAGAATGAAGGCCTGATTTCTCTTCTGCAAGTGACATAGAAGCTTCCTGCAATGTTTTCAGCTTTCCTCTGATTGTTTCCAGCTCAGCATTCAAATCTGATATGGAGTTCTCCAGAAGAAGGTTTTTCTGAACAAGCTTGTCCATCATTTCTAATTTCTCAAGCAGGGCCGTCTTTTCAATACTCTCTCTTTCCTTGACTTCCTTTAGCTTTGAGTTCTCCTCCTGTAACTCCTTGACAGAAGACCCAAAGCCTTCTGGATGTAAACCAACCAACTCCACCTGTTCTACCATGGACTGGTGTTTCTTCCCTATCTGACTTAATTCCTCTTTAAGACAGTATATTTCTTGCTGCAAAGCATTTCTTTGGTCCACTCTCAGTTCAACTTCTGCTTCAAGTTTCTGTATTGTCTCTCGTAATTTTGAGACCTCCTCCTGCAAACTTTTAATTGATGCAGCCGAGGAGAGATTAAGCTCATTGAGGCTTTTGCTCTGGTCTTTGGCTTCCTGAACTTCCTCCTGTAAACCATTGTTACGAGCTTCCATATCTTTCAGGATTTGAGACCTGTTTTGCAGTTCCAATGCCAAAGTGCTTAGCTCCTCCTGAGACTGAGAGTGTAATTGTTGTAGGGTTTGAAAGGCTGTCTCAGCTTCCATAAAACGCAAGTGTTCTTCTTGTACACAAGTCCACAATCTTCCCATCTCTTTCTGTTTCTCCGTGAGCTCATGACTTTGATTCCCCAGTTTCTCCAATAGACCATCCAGCTCAGAGTGAAGATTTTGATTTGATCTCTCAAGCACAACACATTTTTCCTCTGCAAATTTTAGCTTAGCAACTCCATCCTCTATTTCACGGCTGAGCCTTTGCGTTTCTTCTTGAGCATGAAACAGCTTGAGCTTTAAATCTGCAATTGTGTCCAGACACTGTTGGTATTGGAGTTCGTAAGCTTCGTTTTCTTCAATTAATTTGGAAACCTTTTGCTTCAAGCTTTCAACTTCACCCTCAGCATTTTCTGCCCGCTGATTGGTTAACCTTGAATCTTCCTCAGCCTTGTGCAACCTCTCTTCCAGGTTAGATATGGTTTTCAAGCATTGTTGATATTGAACAAGAGCAGCTTCCTTGTCAGTTTCGGATCTAACAAGGCTTTGCTTCAGTGATAGAACTTCAGCTTCGGCTCTGCTGGCTCGCTCATCTACTTCTCCAGCCTCCTTCTGGGCTAGAGAAATGCGATCCTCCAAATCAGCTATGTTTTTCAGACATTGCTGATACTGAAGAAAGCTGGACCCCTTTTCAACCTCTACTTTGCTGAGGGATTCTCTGAGCGTTTCGACCTCAGCTTCGGCTCTTGTGGCTCGTTCAATAAACCCCCTAGAGTCCTCTTGTGCACGAGATACCTCAGACTCTAAATTAGACAGTTTCTCCAAATTCTGATCAAACTGAGCTAAGCTAGCTTCCTTTTCAGCCTGCACTTTAGAGAGAGCAT